GCTGCGCCGCTGACGCTGGTGATACACGTTCGGTGGTGACGCGAGACTGCTCCCCTGTGGCTTGGCCTGCTGTTGCGGTGCCGTGTCCCGCTGTGGCCTGCCCTCCCCTGAGAATCCCCGGCAGGAGTTAAGCTGTCAAAGATGTGTCCCTTCTCTGACTTGACGCTGTCTTTTCCCACGGGACCGAGCCTGTGCCAAATCTCAGTAATCATTTCTCTGGAACTTGATCAACATATGCGTGTGCTTGCGTGTGATTGTCGTCGCGAGTGTCCTTTTTAACATGGTCTGCCTCTTGACCTTACTGACTCGATGCTCGGAATGGCCATTTTATGTCGGAGTGTTTAAGACGTCAATGCACACATGCATGCATACGTCAGCCTTGCCTGAGGGAGTAGCAAGACGCCGTGCACGACAGGGTGCTGTCATCGTGTGTTACCCGGTGAGACCTGACCCTGTCGCACCTCACTGTGATCTGACCTTTGGTGTACTCCAGGGGAGCTGACAGGAGGTATGAGCGAGACGGACATACCGCTGGACACGGTCCAGGTCACGCTGGACCTGCTGTGTCTCACGCTGCCGTACCAGGTAGGCAGGCTGGGCCCCGCACGCCGCACCGGTCGCGCTGTGTACATCGTCTGTTGTCTTCAGCTTGTTCAGGCGGGACCTGTGTGCGTCCGCTGCTGACCGCTCCGCTGTTGGTCAGGTCAGGTCAGCCGTCAGTCGTCAGGTCAGTCGTGTCAGACCGCTCTGTGTCAGCTCAGCTCTGCCGACCGGAGCGCGTGACGTGACGCGTCTCCTGCCGGTGCGCCAGCCCCCTGAGCGGCCCGACGGCCGGTGTCGGCGCGGGAGACCTCTGAGCGGGCCGGTGGCCGGTGTCGGCGCGCCAGACCTCTGAGCGGCTCGACGGCCGGTGTCGGCGCGCCAGACCTCTGAGCGGCCCGACGACTTTGTCGGCGCGCCGGTCCCCTGAGCGGCTCGACGGCCCGGCAGGTGGACGTCCGGATATCGGAGCACACCAAGCATCAGGTGCGCGCCACTTCGTTCTGCTCGGACGGCCTGGGCTGCTCGGAGGTGCTGGAGATGGGCAGCTGCGGTAGCGGCCGCAGCAGCAGCAGCGATGTCGAGAGGTGAGAGCGCCAGGAGCCGGATTCTGTGCCGGTGAGCAGGCGTGGTGAGTTACGAGGCGTAGAGTGTAGTGTAGTGAGAGCGACGGCAATATTCATTCAGGCAAAACGCGATGTGCCCAATGTCCCTTGCGTTGTTTATTGATCTGCTTGGTTGATAAGCCGGCTACTCGCGTTATCCGGTACGCGGAGCCCGAGTCGTCAGGTAGCCTGACCCCAGCCTACCCTGCAGCTTCAATGCCAGCCAGCTGGGCAACCACCTGGGCAACCTGAGCGAGTACCAGGTACAGGCGGTGACGGCCACCAAGGGCGAGGTGCAGTGGCTGCTGATGGACGAGATCGCCGCCCTCCTGCTGGACAGCTTCCCGCCGCAGCTGTCCGTGCTCACGACGGTGGCGGACCACGTGCGCCGCTCGGCCGGTCAGTCCCCCTTCTCTCCCCGTCTCGCTCCTATGAACGGTGACTTGGTGACTGACGTACTGTTGGTCAGAGTCGGGGCGGACGTAGCTGTGCTGGTGTGGTCAAAAATCACAGCAAACTAACGATAATGAGGCGAGACGCGTCATTGTTTTGCATTTTAAATCAGGACTGCAAAAGATGCATGAAATTCTGACAGGTCAGATCCAGATGTCCCGGCCCCGACGCGGCTGTGTGCACAAGCGGATCCAGCTCAACTTTGTCTATGGACCGGAGAAGAGCATTGATAAGTTCATGGAGGCAAGTCAACGTACCCCGCTGTCGGGCTCATTGATGGGGAGGGGAGGGAGTGGTCATAGCATTTGTTCTTACGTTGCTCATTCAATCTTGTTTTGGTCTCAGCGCGCCAGGAAAATGTTCATTCAGTATACATCCTTCAGAGCCGCTCTTTCTCTGCGGTATGGTGCCTGAGGACTCGCTCTCCTTGCTGTACCGTATCTCAGGCTTGCTCAGTTCCGTGCTTCAGCGCCACTGTGACAGTGGCACTGTCGCCAATGCAGCTTTGACTACTTCCGTCAGTGGCGCTAATACAGCTGTGCGGTGTCTCAGACCCGTGCTCCGTGCCGCGCAGGAGTTCCGCCGTCTGCAGGTACCTGGCTACGAGCTGGCCCAGCTGGACAACCTGTACTACCTGGTGCACGAGTCCTCCTCATGTCAGGCGCTCACTTGGAGTCTGGTGCCGCCGCTCGGCCCGCTCCGTCACGCTGCTCGCTTCACACCGCCGCCGAACGCCCCAGGTGCGGGTGGAGCCGCCGCGCGCGTCACGGCGGCGGTGTGCGTGCGGGCGAGAGCTGGGGATGTGCGGGGACGCGGGGGCCGGCGATGGGCAGGACGCGGCTTCGTGACCGAGCGCGTGTGGAAGACTGAAATGTTGAAGGCTGCTGGCGTCGCCCAGCTGCCGGTGACAGATCTGGTTATGGTCCTGATGAGGCCAATTTTCGTGTGACTCCCGTGTGATTCGTGTGACTCCCTCCTGCTGTATACCTGTGGCGGGGACCGATCGAGCGGGGATGGATTTCGCCTCGTCTCGCTGACCGGAGAAGCGAGCCGCCGCGGCCGGCTGTGTCGTCTCTGACCGCCTTGCCCGGGTGCCGCGCGGGCAGGGTTCTCCATGGAGGAGGTGGCGTCAGTGCGGCGACCCTGCACGCCGGACGCGCTGATGGCGCAGACTCTGCTGGCCCGCTCCACCAGCGTCGACCTGTGCCAGTACCTCACCAGTGAGTACGGTGCCCGGCCGGACGTCAGGACTACGTACCGGACGCCCGTACATGGCGCGGATGATTGCGTACTCTTGAAATTGGGAGCGGCTAGCCACTGTTACAGCGGAGTCCGTCGCTGACCTGCCCGGGAGGTTGTTCAGGACTTGGGCGGGCCGTGCTGGCCTGTGGGACGCAGAGCCCGCCGGCGCCGCTAACGCCGCTGACGACGCCGGCCCGCCCTCCCGCCGCAGGCCTCGGCTCCGTGTCGGACGACGACTGCACGGCGCAGAACCACCAGGCGGCGCGGCGCGTGCCGCCGCGCCTGCGCCGCTCCGTCTCACACCGGCCGGCCTCCACCGAGGCGGCGCTGAGCCACGAGGACCGCGAGGTGGCCGCCCTGTTCGGCGGCGCGCCGGCCCAGCCGCGCCGCCGGCCGCGCAGTCAGGTACGCCGCCGGGCCGCTGCCGCGGCACGCCGGCCGCGCAGCCAGGCGCAGAGCGGACGACACCAGCCGCCGGGCTCAGTGTTGCAGACCGGACGGGTGTTTATTTCTGATGGCATTGGCCCACGCGAGTAATGATGCGTCTGTTTCGCGTACACGCAAACATGCACTCACGCATCGACCGTACACCAGAACTCGTGTGTTCACGTACTGTTGTTCGTAGTTGGTTACTTATACACGCTTTCCGATATCCACGATTGAAAAATCGGTGTAGTTGGAGCCCTTATCGCCATTGGAATGTTTCATTGCTGCTTCCCCGGCCTGGGTTTGTCCAAGTTGTCTCCAGACCAGATGAACAACACGTGGACTGGACCGCATGCAAGATGTGTTCTGCGTTCTGACTTGGTTTTCATCTAGCCAACGCCCTGTTGGTCAGTGACGTGTAAAATTACTTTGGACCACTGCTGCTGAGATTGTGCTTGCTTCCATGCTTCTGTCTATGCTTCCAAAAGCTGTGCACTGACCTGCCAAACTAATCCTGTGCCTCTGGTAGTGTCTGCTGGCGTATCTGACGGGCCCTGAACCCTCGTTGTCCGCCAGCGTGGCATCCCTTTGTCGCTCCCGGTGTCTTGTGCCGGCTGGCGGCGGCCGTCCCCCTGAGAGTGTCACCCTGCCGCCAGGTGTGGGAGGGCGCCGGGGACGCGGCGGCGGCCGTCCCCCTGAGAGTGTCCTCCTGCCGCCAGGTGTGGGAGGGCGCCGGGGACGCGGCGGCGGCCGTCCCCCTGAGAGTGTCCTCCTGCCGCCAGGTGTGGGAGGGCGCCGGGGACGCGGCGGCGGCCGTCCCCCTGAGTGTGTCACCCTGCCGCCAGGTGTGGGAGGGCGCCGGGGACGCGGCGGCGGCCGTCCCCCTGAGAGTGTCCTCCTGCCGCCAGGTGTGGGAGGGCGCCGGGGACGTGGCGGCGGCCGTCCCCCTGAGTGTGTCACCCTGCCGCCAGGTGTGGGAGGGCGCCGGGGACGCGGCGGCGGCCGTCCCCCTGAGTGTGTCACCCTGCCGCCAGGTGTGGGAGGGCGCCGGGGACGTGGCGGCGGCCGTCCCCCTGAGAGTGTCACCCTGCCGCCAGTTGTGGGAGGGCGCCGGGGACGTGGCGGCGGCCGTCCCCCTGAGTGTGTCACCCTGCCGCCAGGTGTGGGAGGGCGCCGGGGACGCGGCGGCGGCCGTCCCCCTGAGAGTGTCCTCCTGCCGCCAGTTGTGGGAGGGCGCCGGGGACGCGGCGGCGGCCGTCCCCCTGAGTGTGTCACCCTGCCGCCAGGTGTGGGAGGGCGCCGGGGACGTGGCGGCGGCCGTCCCCCTGAGTGTGTCACCCTGCCGCCAGTTGTGGGAGGGCGCCGGGGACGCGGCGGCGGCCGTCCCCCTGAGTGTGTCACCCTGCCGCCAGGTGTGGGAGGGCGCCGGGGACGTGGCGGCGGCCGTCCCCCTGAGTGTGTCACCCTGCCGCCAGTTGTGGGAGGGCGCCGGGGACGCGGCGGCGGCCGTCCCCCTGAGTGTGTCACCCTGCCGCCAGGTGTGGGAGGGCGCCGGGGACGCGGCGGCGGCCGTCCCCCTGAGTGTGTCACCCTGCCGCCAGTTGTGGGAGGGCGCCGGGGACGCGGCGGCGGCCGTCCCCCTGAGAGTGTCACCCTGCCGCCAGTTGTGGGAGGGCGCCGGGGACGCGGCGGCGGCCGTCCCCCTGAGTGTGTCACCCTGCCGCCAGGTGTGGGAGGGCGCCGGGGACGTGGCGGCGGCCGACTCGCGCCGCTGTCGCTCGGCCGCCGAGGTTGACTCCACCGCCGTCCAGCCGCCCCGCCCGGCCAGCGACAGCTCCAGCAAGCTCGACGATAACATCCACGTACGTGTCGTGTCTGCCGCCGGGGGCGCCACACGCAGCGGCCTGCTAGCCGCACGTCGCGTGGGACTGACACGGGAGTCATGGAAATCCGAGGGATGTGAATTAGCTTTGTGCTGGCTTAGAAACTAATGCCATGATGAACACATGTCGGTCGCTTTGTGCATTCGTTCACAGTAGGCCTTCTCTAGTCGCAAGAGCGTGCCTGGGTTATGCAGTGATGTTATATCATTCCCCTGCGTGGGCTGTGCGCCGGTCCGCACCGCTGATGTGTGTGCTGTCTGTGGCGGACATGTGGCCGCGAGTGTCGGAGTGTGCGCCCGGCCTCCCGCCTCCTCCGCCACCGGGCAGCGCGCGCGCGTGGGCGTGTGGGTGGATGGGTGGCGGGCCGGGCCCACCGTGTCGGGTGCGTGCCTCACCGGGTTCTGTGGGCCGGCAGCTGACCGAGGAGGGGTACGAGGGCGACGGTGACAACAACTCTGACTCGGAGCACGAGCCGGCCGAGCGTATCCTGCTGCCGGCCTTCTGGCTCATCCTGTACGTCTCGGAGGAGGCCGTCGACACGTTCTTCCACTGCAGGCGAGTGACGCTGCGGACCGGCGGCCGGACTGCCGGGTGCCGAGGACGCGGTGGTCTGAGTCCCGACGCCGCTGGGCTGTACGGGCGTGGCTGTAAGGCGCTGGGCGTTGCGGTTTAGTCAGGCAATCGCGTCAGTGCTTTTGTATATCAATAACGTATGCGTTTTCGAATTCAGCACATCCGTGGGAGTGAAAATATTGCAGGTTGTTTACATTTTGTTGTCTAAACTAACCATGGTGTGTGCGTCCCCGGTTCTCTTAGAAGGCTATGTGTGTCGGCCAGCATGTTACGTTTGCACGCGCTCGGGTGCGGGCAATCCGCCCCCCCCCAAGTTTAAAAAAAAATAGCTTCCGAAGGGTGCGGCGTAGCATCGCCAAACTTTGCGTAATTGTGGGCAATTTAGCAGCTCAGCATTGTGATAGGTAAGTAAATGACAGTCTTATCTGAAATGAAGATTTACCCTTTAAGGTTGCTGACCTCAGGCAGGTCAAAGTCAGACCGTGGTTGTCAGCGAAGGTAATACGCAGGGAATCGTTCAATCTTATGCGACAGGGGGGTGTTAGGCTAAGTCAGATACCTTTGAGATTTATATTGTGATGATTTCTTAGACAATTGGGCAATCGAATTTAGGATTGTGACTAATCCCATTGACCTTGGGTCAGCTACGAAGGTCAGACCGAGATAAAAACCAAGTCACTCTTTGACAACGCATATTGCTTTACAGGGTACTTTTTGCGTTTATTTCGAATCTCTTGGTCACAGGGACATCAGCAGACATATTATTTGAACTTCATGATGGTCAGAGGGGGTCACTGACATACAATGACCCCAATGGACCTTTTGTTTTTAGGAACATTCCGCCTAACGTAGTCCTTGCCCCCTATTTTTGTTGAAGCATTATACCAAATTTCGAAGGTTTTTTGGCTCATTTACCCTCTGAAGGTCAAATAAGGTCACTGGCCTGTCATTAATATCAGTGACTTTTTGCCTAGAAGTATGTGTAAAAAGTATGCGGATGAAATGTGGTCGCGTGACGTAACCTGAGGGCACTTCGGACACCAGTGTGGAGTTTGATCTTATTTGACCATCTTTGACCTGGCGGTTATGACCTAGGGACCTCACGATTTGGCACAAGTGAGTTTACATGCGGGCATGTAACCTAACCTGTGAATTTGGTGACTCCAGGTATGTTGATTTTCGATATATTGGAGGGTCAAATTGCTCCTTCCCTCACCCCAACCGAGCGTCTCGCATTCAACCGGCCACCCGGGCGCATGCTGCTGCGTCAGTGTGTTGTGCCATTCAATTGTCATCATCCTTTGCAGGTACCGACGTGAGGATGTCTGTGACAACAAAGCAATTCACGACCAGGTCATTGCCAAGATCAACCAGATATGCAAGGTGGTGAACCAGGTAGGTGGGCCCGTCTTCTGACCTTTCGGTCGTGCACGGAAAGGCGGGGCACACGCGTGTGTTGGCCATACCGTTCACCAGCCCCCCCCCCCGCCCCACACACACGCGCACAAACGCATAAGGTTTCATTTACGGCGTTTCCCAGAGACAGGCCTTTGCCGTGTGTCGTCGCTCCACGCCGCTGTCGGACACAGCGGCGCTTGCTCTTGAGGTCCAAACGACGTGCTGCGGGCGGCGGATGGGACCGTGGTGTGGCTGTGATCTGCCCGCCAGCGGTGCTCCATGGTCCAGTGACGCCCCGCCAGCGGTGTCTGCTGCGTCCCCGCTGTCCAGCGACGCCCCGCCAGCAGTGTCTGCTGCGTCCCCGCTGTCCAGTGACGCCCCGCCAGCGGTGCCTGCTGCGTCCCCGCTGTCCGGTGACGCCGGTCATGCCGCGAGTGCGCTGACGCTGCGGCCGTCGCTGCGGCAGATGCTGCTGCTGCAGGAGCTGGAGAGCTCCCGCTTCTGCGACAACCTGCTAGAGCCGGAATCGAGCGCCGACCTGTGGCAGGCGGATGAGCTGCATGGCCTGTCGGCCAGCTACAGCCGTCCGGGGGCCCACTCGCCGGATGGTCAGTAGATCCAGGACCGTGTGTGTGTGTGTGTGTGTGGGTGTGGGTGTGGGTGTGGGTGTGTGGGTGCGTGCGTGCGTGCGTGCGTGCGTGCGTGCGTGCGTGCGAGGGAGGGGGTGGGGGTGGGGGTGCGTCCGTCCGTCCGTCCGTCCGTGCGCGCGCAGGGCCCGGGTGTGCGCTGACCATGTGCAGTGCAGGTCGCATCCTTTGTAATTTAGATACGAGCGGCTCACCAGGGGCTGCCTGAAGCCATCTGTGGTTCATGGATTGGTGCTCCAAGGTCAACAACCATGCTGCCCCATAGCCATGGTGATCCCAGCCCGCTGACCTCGCCTATGCAGCCCGTGACTAAGGTTGTATCGGCGGCGCGGCAGTGCGGCGGCCGTGCCCGACAGCTGGTCCTTGTTGAGCCTCCGTGCCGTGCCGGCAGACCTCAACCGCCACTACCTGGAGGCCAACCTGAAGTTCCAGGCGGGCCACTTCGCCTGTCCGGTCACGTGGTGCGCCCAGTTCGCTCTGCACCCGCGCCTGCGCGGTCCGGCGCACGCGGCCGCGCCTGGGCTCGCCTACCTACGCCAGGCGCTCGAGACGTTTGCCGTCACCAACCGGCGCAACATGTTCGTCTTCAAGGACCCCAAGCTGGAGCAGGTGTTCTACCTCAGGTGAGAGAGCTGGAGCGCGGTGAGTGCGATTCGTGGGGGCAGGTGTCCAGGCAGACTGCGGAGTGTGTAACGCCCAGTGCCTGTGGGTCTAGCGACATAGTCACGCTCCTGGCTGCATGTGGTGCGATGTGCCACCATTGAGGCCCGGCCCTCTCGGAACAAACTACAGGCCAGTGCTCGCGCGTCTGGTAACTGTGTGTCGGTCTCGCTGACTGTCCGTGTGGCGCTGCGCCCTGCTGAGGCCTGTTCCCATGTGTGGGCAGGCTGCAGAAGTGCTGTGCGGCCAGTGCTCGCGCCGCTGGTGACAGTATGTCTCCTCCAGCTGTCTGTGTGGTGCTGCACCCTACTGAGGCCCGCTCCTCCTTGTGTGGGCAGACTGCAGGAGTGCTGCGCGGCCAGTGCTCGCGCCGCTGGTGACAGTATGTCTCCTTCAGCTGTCTGTGTGGTGCTGCGTCCTACTGAGGCACGCCCCTCCTTGTGTGGGCAGACTGCAGGAGTGCTGTGCAGCCAGTGCTCGCGCCTCTGGTGACAGTGCGTCGGCCCTGTCCCTGGACGAGCGTCTCTCGCTGCAGCCTGGCAGACCCAGCATCACCAGTCTCAAAGACGAGGTGGGCAATCGCTCGCAGGCAGGCCGACGGATGAGGGGAAGGAATTCAGCGAGTTGCTGTCGGACAGCCTGTGGCGCACAGTTGTATGATAATTTCAGCTGTATTAATATACGAATTTGCTATCGCGACGTGGGCTGATATTAAGGTCTGGTGGTTTTAACAGAGTACGTCCGGCGCAACATTAATTTGTTGTGCTTGTTGCGGAACTAGGAATGCTGATTCAACCATGTCACGGACACTGAATGCAGTGGGCAGCCCCCCCCCCCCCCCTCTCCAATATCCGGGCGATAGTTAATATTTACCCAATGGGGGTGCTTTAGAAAAAAAAATGCAAAAATAGCATTTTCCGTCCCGCTGAGATACTGTCACTGAAACATGTAAACGCTCGGCACTAATTGCTCTCATTCTAAAACCTGATATATGTTAATAAAGCCCACATTTTTTTTATCATATTTCAATTGGGTGTCTGCTAATATGCGCTTCAACCGTATTCGAGTTGGAGCTATCGAAGTTCCATGTCCCACGTTTGCGGGAGCTGCCCGCGAGATGCACGCGAGTTTCCTGGCAGATATGCACATCACTGTCTCATGCGTCACTGCCCAGACGACTGTCGTTCTCGTCTGCCCGTGAGTGTGGGCCCACCAGCTGAGCGTGCGCCCGTGCCGGTGTGTGCCACGCGGCGGAGGGCGCCGCTGACTGGTGGTGCGCTCCGCTCCGCAGCCGGCCCGGGGCCGCTGCACCTCCGTGGGCGAGCGGGAGACCAGCTCGCGAGCAGAGTCCGGCGAGGGCATCATGCTGATGGTGCACGGCATCACCGAGCCAGGTAACCCGCAGCGCTAGCAAACAGGTGCACGGCATCACCGAGTCAGGTAGCCTAGAGCGCTAGCCAACACGAAATCACCGAGCCAGGTAACCCGCAGCGCTAGCCACCAGCGCCGGGTGGGAGCGACTTTAACTCACGTCACTGGCGGAGGGCAGGAGGCGCCCCGCCCAGTGAGTCCCAGAGCTGGGCTGGAGCCGCCACGCGAAGATCTGCAGGCAGACCGGTCTCTCAGGAATCGAGCTATGCCCGGTTTGACCAGTTGAGGTCAAACAATGACATTCCGAATCTGATGGACCATAGTGCAAGCGAGCACAAAGCTGAAAATTTACCATTTTTGTTGGGAAGGACGACACATGTTGAGCCAAATAGGCACTGTGTCGTGCCCATCATCATATTTAGTGTCCAACTGTAGCCTGGGAACGATGTAAGGTCAGAGGCGGTAAGCGTTAGTCATCGACTCTATTGGACCATGACAGTGTTCTCATCCTAGCCAAAGTGGCTCGTGCGCCTGTAGATTATTACCTTATGCTGATTCCAGTTCCAAAAGTGTCATCTACTACCCATGAACAGCAAATGACCGGCCGTTGTCTTGTAAATGACTTTGCAAGCCCTTGGAGGCGGCTCATGGAGGCTCATGGATAAACTTATGCAATTGTTTTGTACACCAAAACATTGGTATACTTTTCAGGGAAAAGGACTGCTCCAGAAAACGAAATTTCTCTGTTGAGTAAACATGCTCCTTAACATGTGGGTATTTCATGGCGTCACCGTTCCTTGCACATTGATCGAGAGCCAGTTGACGGCCTAAAATCTGGACATCGGGCTCACGAATGCCAAATGCGAACGACTCGATCATTTACTGTGGCGTCATGGATGCCTGGGTGACCTTGAAATAGTCCCCGAAATGGTCTGCACATCTCCGTGGGCATGTTGCTCTGAAACTAGAGGGGTTTGGGTATAAAGAGGTGCAGGACTGTGAACTGCACCGAATGATCTTCAAGATGGCTATTTTAGTTCAAAACCCCATGCAAAAGTGAAACACTCCTTAACTTTGATTCTATGCATCTTAAGCACACATAAAATAGATACATTTTGGTCAGCCTTGTCCCAAATGCGATGCCGTGTCGGCCTGTGAGGCCGCTGATGATAGCGTCCCGACCGGCAGGCCCCAGCATTAAGGAGGATCTGGTGGAGCTGCTGTACAACCGGCTGGACGAGCGGCTTCTGGAGCTGTTCTCCAAGGCGCTGCTGCGAAACCCGCAGACCAAGCTGGCACCCGAGGACGTGCACTTCATCCAGCGGCCGGGGGCGCCGCCCGACCACAGCCTCAAGGTGACTATGTACCCGGCCACATCGTACGGACCACGGCGCCCGACAAGAGTGCCCAAGTGACGTACGTGAAATTGCAAATTGTGTCCGGTGACCACGGTCTCAAGGTGACCACATATCAGACGAGCGTTAGAATACTCTCCCACACGGCGTCGGCGGTAGGCGGGTCCACTCCGAGGGTGTGCGCCGTTACGTATTGGTCAGCTGTAGGCCGGTGTTAGAATACTCTCCCACACAGCGTCGGCGGTAGGCGGGTCCACTCCGAGGGTGTGCGCCGTCACGTATTGGTCAGCTGTAGGCTGGTGTTAGAATACTTTCCCACACGGCGTCGGCGGTAGGCGGGTCTACTCCGAGGGTATGCGCCGTCACGTATTGGTCAGCTGTAGGCCAATGAGCGGGCGCCAGCGCCGGCGCCGATGTTGCACGTGCCCCCAGTGTGACGGCTGGGCGCTCTGTCGCAGTTCACCCTGCCGCCGTCGGCCGTGCCGCACCTCGACTCGGTGGTCGGCTACCTGCGCAACAACCTGCTGCAGCTGCTGCACCAGCCCAAGTACACCGACAGCCGTGAGGAGAACCACTTCCGGGTGAGTGGCGACCGCCCCCGGAGCCTGGTGGGGCAGAGCGGCCGAAGATGGGACGGCCACCGCCCTCCGGAGGCGTTGGTGGCCTGTTGAGACTGGGTTCACATCTGTTCCAACTCATTTCCGTACTGTGAACCAGACTGGGAAGGGATGTCGGTGTGTTCGACGTTTCGTAGTGTGTGAACGGGACCGGCACTGAGCATGCGGACACGCCCGCTAACGTCTGGGCGGTGCGCGCAGGACTGGGGCAGCAGCGGGGACTCGGACATGTTCCTATACCTGCCGTCGGAGAAGCACGGCGGCCGCGGCATGGCCTGCGTCTCCCTGTCGACGGTGCGGCCGTCGGCGCCGCCACCGCCGCCGCCGCTGCCCCTGCTGGAGGCCGCCGCAATAGAGTGGACGCCCGCTCAGTTCGAGGCGCTGACCAGCACCAAGCTGTACGACCCACAACGGGACGGTGAGCAGCGTGCGTGCGTCGGTACCTGGTCACGCTGGCTGAGTGACGTGCTGACCGAGGCAACCGGCGGGGATTTGCTGTGTAGCTTGAAGTGCGCCGACGGCATTAACAGCGCGTTGATACTGACAGCCGTGTTGTTGTCCGGGTGTAGTACTGCCTCGGATGTGTTGAGCTGACTGAAAGAGATCAGCTGCTGTAAGTTCATACATCTAGTGAGGAGATGTGCACATACCAGTATCGTCAGTAACATGGAGACAGTTACCGCCTGACCGGGGGGCGTTTAAACATCGGCTTCTGCCTTCTGGTACGGTGGCGCCGCCGTGCGTCCGACCCTGCGGTGATAGGCGGTTGGTGGGATGATGATTAGAGGCCAGCATTTAACAAGCCCCGTTGAGTGTATTTCCTAACCTGCATATGTGTTGCCAGTGGCTCAGGATAACGGTGTGGGCGAATCGGAGAAAGGGCTTTCGGAGACGTAAATTGCAATAACGCGTCAGAGTTGTGTTTGCTAACCGTGACCTTGGCGCAGCCAGCCGTGCTGGGTTGGACCGCCGCGTCCGCCGCCGCCGCCTCACCATGTGTATGCAGCTGGCCTCTGAGGGGGCCCGGTCCTTCCTGGGCAGGTCCGGACGCCGTGCTGCTCCAGTTCAACATCTGGGAGAAGGGCCGTGCCAACCTGGCCTGGCTCGAGCCGCGCCTGCCCTCGGCCATCCGGTACGCGCTCTGGGACCGCTGCATGGTCTGCCACGTGCTGCCGCACGCGCCGCTGGAGGGCGCCGGCGGCCGCGATCTGGCGGCCGCACTGCGAGGTAAGTGGCGCGTGCCGCCGGCCGAGCCGGGCCCGCTGGGCTGGTGCTGGGCCCGCTGGGCTGGAGCCGGGCCCGCTGGGCTGGTGCTGGGCCCGCTGGGCTGGAGCCGGGCCCGCTGGGCTGGTGCTGGGCCCGCTGGGCTGGTGCTGGGCCCGCTGGGCTGGTGCTGGGCCCGCTGGGCTGGCGCCGGCCCTAGCGTCGGTTGGCCTGCCGCGGCAGCTGGGCGGCCAGCTCCTCTGATGTTTGTTTTTTCGTGGTGGCTTATCTCCTCACAGATGTCGGCCGCGTTTGATTTTGTCTAGTCATGGGAAATGCTTGTCTGGTCCTAATTTATGAATGCTTCTGTTTTGCAATACCTGGCTCGTATCGCACATTTCTTGCACAGTTGTCAGTTCGGTTGCGGTCGTACCGCAGTTTTTTGCGATGATTATTGACTCCTCTCACCCACCCCCTCCTCCACCCACCGTATGTTCCACCGCACGGTCTGCCGTGTGGTCCCCACAGACCGCACGTGATCTGCGCCGCATACCCTGGGGTGGCGTTGGCTGCCGTGCGCTCGCGGCACCTCTGGTTGCCAAGCCCGCTTGCTTCGGCCGCTTCCCTGCCGGGCGCCGTGCTCCATCTGGCGACATTCCTCCCGAGCTTGCATGTTCTGGGACAGGTTGACCGGTGCCTGACACCCTCATCTCTCGGATTTGGACGACATTTTGTCTCAGGGGGGGGGGGGGGGTAATCCACAGCGATGGAAGTGTCGGGAACAGTACCAAGTCTCTCGGTTCACACGTTTGAGAGTTATGGCCTCCGGCAGTTCCGTGTCACGTCGCTGCAGGGGTGTTTTCGACAGGAAATTTGTCCGCTGCGACGGACGGAAACTAGGCAAATCGACGTACCTACGGACCGAGTAAAATCTAATAAACGCACAAACGACACTCGCTACACCGCGGTGCATACATCTGTGGCAGTAAAATGGTGTCAGGTATGGAGAAGGCGTTGGGGGTTATGTCCCAAGTGATGTTGGCATTTGTCCCTACAACTTGAAAACCTGTTTCTATGTGTAGACCAGAATGGAATTACTCGATCGAAAAAATGGAGTGGCTGCCTTAGTCATCGAAAGCTATGACCTAAGCTTATAATTACGGCCCTAAGTAGTCATTAGATTTCGCGACATCACCTGGCTTTCGGCGGCGCAGCGGCGCCTGACTCCAGCTGCTCCGGCGTTTCTCGCTGGGGCGGGCGAGAGGACTGAGGGATGTAGGTCGGCCTCATGACAGACAACGGTATCTGCTGGGTGACTTTGTCGGTGATGAAGTTTGGCAGTGGACTTGTGTGTGCATTGTGAAACGCTAAAAACATCCACATTGCGCGCGCCCATTTCCGGAGACACAAAACCAGATAGAGGGATGGAGAGACACATACCGAACTTGAGCAAAACTTACTATTTTTCTTACAGAAGCGCAGCCCAGCAGCAAACAAGGCAAAATAATCACATTAACACTGTACAGCTCTCTATTTCCGCTTTCTATATAGTCTACTTCCGCAGACTTGGGAACCACATGTGGCTGAGACTTTTCGCTACATTCCACGGCCTGGTGGCGTTGGTGGTACTGTAAAAGGAGCACTGTTGACAAAAGGTCTGAGGCGACCAGATACTGGCCACATGTTATGGGCGTAGGTATTTTTTTGTCCTCGCGTGGGAGTTTGAAACCACCAGCAATCTTTGCTTGATAGAAAAGGGGAGGGGAGAAAGCTAGTGGCCCATGCTTCCTGCTTATGCACTAACGGAACTATTAGAGGCACCCAGCCATTCCCCGGGTCGGCTGATCAGCCTGCTTCAGATGCGTTCTGGTTAATACAATAAACCTAACAATCCGCGAACTGTCACGCGCGCCTGGTAACAATGTTCGGATTAGGTGTAGTACGCAGAGGTTGAAACTGGGGAGTTTAAAACGGCTTTCGTGTGAGCTATTGATTGGAACTTCCGTGGTTGGCTCTTTTTTTTCTTCGAAGAAAAGAGCACTGTTTTTGACGCACCGTCGCGAGGCTGTGTGGAGCTTGCTGTCGCCTGTGCGGTAAAAGCGTGTCAGGTTTCAAGAGGTCCGGTTTCGTACGGCTCTGCACATGTATGTGCGTCAGGTCAGTCTGGTTCCTGACTGTTGGTGATTTTCTAAGTGTATATGTATATCCGTCCCGCACATGTAAATGCCGTGCGTATCAACCCATGGCTGTTATGAATGCATCCACATGGTTTACTTTCACATGAAAATGTCTTCAAAGACAAGTCAACATTAGAAAATACCCATGCAACCCAGGTTAACAAATTTGGCTAAGGCTTTACATGCTGAATGTAATCGCGCATTTTTTATGCATTTCGCGGCAGGTTGCATTGCATTTTCCTTGCATTGTTCTCTTTTTTGAGCTTGGTGTGCCGTGCCAAGTGTACATTGTCACAGGCGTGTGTATCGTCCCTGAGAAGCTCTGGCAGAACATGTCGTCAAAACTCGAGAGCTGAGGGTGTAACGCGGTCCTTCGGATCGGCCGATGCGTCCTGGAACACCCCGGCTCGCACGGCGCCACCAGCTCTCAGGCTGCGCACACTGTACACTGTAGGCCGCACTGGCTGTGGCCGGCCGGCGCTGTGGCCGCCGCTGCGCAGTAGTAACTGGCGCGCGGCTGCGCCCGGCCGGCAGGCGCGCCGCCGCCGCCGCCGCCGCCGCCGCCTCCGCTCCGCTCCATGTCGTTGTTTGAGTCGGCCGTCGGCCGGGGGCCGGCCCGCCAGGCGGACCCCGCTCCGGCCATCGTTCTGACGACGCCGCCGCCCGCCCGTGAGTGGCATGACACCGCATGGGGCCGCAGCTGGCCGGCTAGTGGGGGCGGGCAGACCTCCGGCAAGCTCAGCACGCGGCGCCGGCCGACTGGTGAGGGGCGAACCAACCCTCGGCCAAGCTCAGCACGCGGCGCCGGCCGCTGCTGCTGCTCCGTCTGTGGGGGTGGGCGCGGGGCGGGCCGCGCGGTCCTGCTCTCAGTGCCCGGCTTGGTGTCCAGCTAGCAGGCGGCCGTGCGTCAGCTGTGCCGGTCTCTGTCAGTACTGCCAGGCATTGTTTAAGCCATAGCGGTCCGCGTATGAGAGGCTGTAGCGGTCCGTGTCTGAGCTCTAGTGGTCCATGTCTGAGCTGTTGTGGTCCATGTCTGAGCTCTAGTGGTCCATGTCTGAGCTGTTGTGGTCCATGTCTGAGCTTTAGTGGTCCATGTCTGAGCTTTGGCGGTCCATGTTTCAGTTGTAGTGGTCCATGTTTGAGTTGTAGTGGTCCATGTCCAGGCTGTAGCGGTCCATGTTTGGGCTGCAATGGTCCGTGTCTGGGCTGCCCGGCCACGCCACTGACTGGAGCCCGGCCGAAGCGTGGGCAATGTGTGATGGCTCGTTGGCTCGTAGGGCTGAGAGAGGTGCCACAGGTGCATCGGGTGTCGCTATTAAATCATGCAAACATTTGTCCTCTGGCTGTTGGTGTGCAGCGCTTCACTGAAAGGCGACTGCGATAGGACTAGCCCGCCTGCGATGATCCGTTGGATGCAGCTGATAGGGACGGCAGTGATCCGAACGTGCGTAAGCCAGATAGCGGGTAGGGCAGCGCGTAAATCATGCGGTGCTCCCAAAATGTGAACGATGCGTGCAACGCATGCGGCACGCCATGTGCGCATCTCTCACTGCTGGAATAACGCCGCGTGGCTTGCGCGGCGTCCTCCGGGCTACCTGACGCACGCGTTCCGGGATCCATGGTCTCGAAGCTATGCACGTCTCCGTTGGTACTTTTAAACCTGGAGTGAGGTTTACGCCGCCGTCATCGCATGGTCTTGCTGGATGCATAAGAAAACGTGGTCGGTGCCACTGTTGGTCTGTGTTTAAAAAAACGCTCTTCACGCTCGTCGTGGCATGCCATAACAATATGTGCACGCGAGGAATTGTTTACTATCAGAAGTGCTGGTCTTAAATCCAGTAAACATTGTAAACGGTTAATGGAGAACAACAATGTCCGTAAAGCAATACCCCGTATATGTGTATGTCTGCTGCGGTGCGTCAATCAGCCTGCCTTAGTGAGGACTCCCGTTATTGATGTGACGGTGCTGTGCCCCACCAGTCTGTGAGTTTGCCCCAGTGAGGCCTCTCGTGATTGATGTGACGGTTCTGTGCCCCACCAGTCTGTGAGCTTGCCCCAGTGAGGCCTGTCGTGGTTGATGTGACGGTTCTGTGCCCCACCAGTCTCTGAGCTCTGGCCTGGGTTAACACACAACACGCCTGGCACGGGCGATGGGTATGTAACAACTAACTGTCAGTCCAGACCTGTCTGGGACCCGGCGGGTCTCTGTGCTGTGGTGGACCGCTGACACCGCCCGGTCAACAGCGACACCACCCGGTCGGCAGTGACACTTCTGGGCGGTCACGGGGTGCGTCCTGGCTGGGCGGCTCGCTGGACTCTGTAGTGGACCGCTGACACCGCCCAGTCAGCAGCGACACCTCCGCGCGGTCACGGAGTGCGTCGCGGGCTGGACGGCTCGTTCGACACTCGCCCCAGCCGCCTCCCCCGGGGAAGTGCATGTAGAGAATGGCCGGCTAGCATCACCGACGGAGCCTGCCGAGCTATCAGGGTGCTGAGGGCGCAGCACCGCCGTAGGTGGGGTTGGCTCTCACAGGAGACGGGCTCTTCTGAGCGCTGCCGATGACGTGTCTGTCGTCCCCCGTCGTCCGCCCCCGGGAGCACGCACTCACCACCGACTAACGGGACACCGTCCGGGCGTGGCTGCTGCTGAGCAGCTACGCGTGCCTAGCGCAGCACACGGCCGTCCACACGGTCGCTGCAGGCTCCTGCCGGTCACCGCCAGCTGCAGCATTAAGGTCGCCGGTCCCCCCCCGGCACCGGGAAATGCGTGCCCAGAGTGCCTAGGCGAGGCTGCGGCTGGTCTGGCGCTGGCTGGCGCTCGGCGGCGCAGCTGCTCGGCGGCGTCGCTGGCGCCTGTTGCCGGACCCGCCGGCCCGGCGTCGCTTCGGTCGTCCCCTGAGCTGACGGCCGTACCGTTCCAGCGGGCCGCGCGCCGGACGAGGCGGCCGGCTCCAGCCTGGCCCGCTTCCTGGACAGACGCATCTCGTCACCGGTGACCCAGCTTCAGGTCAGTCGGGGGCGAGCCCCGCGGGGCTGCAGCCGGCGGCTGTCGGCCGGGACGGCTCTGGACGGAGGCCAGCGCGCCCTGCTGGTGGGCCCTGATGGTCGGGCCTGCCGCTCAGGCCGGGCCCCTGTGACGCGCACCGGGCGGATCACGCGCCAGCTGAGCTGTCTGGCAGGCCGTCTGTGGCCCTGTGCTACAGACCACGCCACAGCCCGGCTTCGGTGTCTTGCGCCGATGTCTTTTTATGCTCAAAGCACGATGTGTAGCTTGTGCGACCCAGCATTTCCAGGATTTCATTGCCGAAGTCCTCACCTTGTGTTTATGATGCTGCCTCAGACGTGTGCTCTCATCGAACGGAATCAAATGTAATCCCAGAATCGATTCCCTGTTGCTGGACTTTGATTCCGCTTACTTTCCACTATTTATTCAGCGATTTATTTTAGTAATGTTCAGAATTCATTTTATAATGTCCAGAATCAGATACAAGACGTGTCAGATTCAGATTGGGACTCAGGCTCAATTTTACCATAAACGAAAATTTTAACATTCATGTTTGTTTTAGCAAGTTTGGGATTCAACCCAAGTGGCGGAATCCATTTCACCCAGCCGGTACCAAGCACTGGTCTGGATGCTGCGCATGCAGTGTTTTTTTCTCGAATAATCCAAAAAATCCAGACTTCTCAAGGCACTTCCGGATCGTGCCATTTCCAATAGTGTCGAATAGACGATTTTCTCTCCCGGCACATCAAATGAGATGCCTTTATTGATGCCGCTGTTTGGTAAAGGTCTTTGGTAAAGTTCATCTTTGCTCGCTGGGCAAAGGTGGACTGGTTGTCGACATCGTTCACAGCTAACTACGACAAACATCCGTGCTGTTCGTGCATTTGAGGGGCGTTGCATTCAGAACTATGCACAGCTGACTAGCACAGCTAGCCGCGTCAGTTATCCGTGCTTGTGTATCTGGCGGGGGTGACATGCAAGATCACTTGCCTCGTCTTTCCTTGAGAAGCGACCAAAAGTCTTTCGAGCCGCGCTGTATGACTGGACAAATTATCCAAAACATTCGTGTTCATTTCTTGCCAGCATAGCCACGGCTCCCTCCGTATATATATATATATATATATATATATATATATATATATATATATATATGTCTATACATATACATATATTTATATTTATGTACATATATATTTATATAAACTGATAGCATACGGAATAAGCTTTCATTCTACCCGCAGATAGTGCACTTCCCTATCTATCTAGAATAGCTTTGTCTGCACATGATACAGGCCATGCTCTGTTGGCAACTTTGTGCGTTGTTTCGGTATCGTGGACCATCGGGGCTCTCAGTGGCAATGTCTGTTATCACCTATCATCCTGGCATGCATATTTCTAAAACTTACATGGTGCTACTTGGTTTTATTTGCATGGATTAGCCCGTCTCATAGTTTGCATCTCGACTGAATGTCACGCCTTTGAAAGAGATCCGAGAACTCTACCTGGCGTGGGCACCACGTACGTAATACCTTCTGATTGTGATGGCTGTCCTGGTGTCTGATCTCAACGGCCCTCACTGTCTGATCCGTGTGTTTGAGCCGTGCCTGCTGCGTTCTGGTCTGCGCGCAGCAGGAGCGTCGGCGCAGCGTCGCCAGCTCTGCTCCCCTGGACGGCTCGCCGCTGTCGCTGGTAACTATGCCGGCTTGGCACGTGTGGAGCGCGCTGCACCTGCTGCACCAGTCGCTGCCGCCGCCGCCTCCGCTGTTTGCATGCACAGTGCTACCGCCCCCGGCTTGCGCGGGCAGTACTGCTGTCTGGATGTTGACCTGACTGCAAGCTTCCGAAGGCTTCCAGACTGGTCTCTGTAGGCTTTGTAGTGCTACGGCTATGGCTCATTGATGAAGGAGCCATGCCCCGTCTGAGTTGAACTGGACCCGGGATATGTATTGGTTGAACTTGGGAACTGGTTGTGGGTTTTTTCATCTTCCCCGCTGCATAGTGCATACTTCCCTGGTCATGACTGCTGATTGTGGAATGCAATTGCTCGTCAATCGCTTGCTTTCAAACAGGCTCACAATGTTTAACGCATTTTTCACTAAGATGTGGATGCACACGAAAAATTATGTATTGCTGCCATCATTACCGGATGTGTGTGAAGGCGCTGGGCCTACCAAAAAATCATTTTTTGCTAGTTGTGGGGCACTTTGCGGCGGCTTACTTTCGTGATTCATGGGATGACGTTCTCGGTAACAAATTACAGCGCCACATTTCTGCAGGGTGTTAGCCTCAACACTGACCCCATTGGGAGGCGAGTACTACCTGGTATTTGTCATTTTCATAACGACAACGTTTTGTTACCTAACTTTGCGGTGAAGGACAGAAGGCAAAGGTGTTGATATCATTTATTGTTCGTGATATGCTGAGGTTGATGAACTTCTCTTGGACTCTGAATGTTCTGGTGTTGAAAAAAATGAATGAAATGAAAAAATGAATGTATGTTCTTTTTAGATCACTAATGCCGCATATGGTGTATTACTTTGTTAAGTTGCCATTTGTGATCCCATGCGTGACATGATGGCCCAGAAGTGAGCCGATTATGTTTTTTTCAGCAAGCAAAGTCCTAGCGAATGTAATAAAAGGAATTAAAATATTTTTTAAATGTGGAAACCAGTAGGACTCCCACGCGGTAGTGTATGAAATGCTCCCAAATAATTTCTAGAGGCTGAATCATGGCTGGCAGACACGATTGCACTGCACGATTTCGGATATTTATCGCTCGCTTTTGTGAACGTCCTGTAATTGGAGTGCATTCTATGTGAAAATCGTCATTTAAAGTGAGCTGATTTCCTGCTGTTGATTGCCGCCTTTAACGCCCAATCTCTTAGTTTGTGCGACTACTGGTCTATTCCCGCTGCATCACGGCATTGTGTATGCTGCTGTTGCCAGCAAGGCAAACAGTGTGCTGCCGCAGCTGCGCCGGTGCGGGAGTTCCACTGGCGTGGTGTGGCGTGTGTTTGCTGCCGCAGCTGCGCCGGTGCGGGAGTGCCATTGGCGTGGTGTGGTGTGTGCCGCTGGCCTGCATTGGCGGGGCTCAGCGTCACGTGTCTGCCCTATGTGGTGTCGAGGACGACACTAACAAACTCCGCACCGACTGTGCATGATGGCCCTGGGCGGCTGGAATCCCGAGGGAGATATGGTTGTGTTCTTGCGGAAGGTGCTTAGCTGTTTGGCTAATGGCGCTCGTGCGATGCATTTCTTGTACCACTGGTGACACAACTCCTCGAGCTTGTGCGCTGTCGGCTTTGTGGGCAGCAAATGATAATCACCTACCGGCAGTGCACCAGGAGTAGCTGGAAAAACAGTTGACGACTGAAAGCTTTCGTAAAGGGATCTCAGTATGAACGATACTGACTGGACCCGCCGTTAACATTCATATTGCAATCACTTGCGCCTGTGGCCAACCTCCGTAGAGCCGTCCCAATCATTCCTAGTGGTCATGATCAGGAGGCATCTTCAGTAGGGATGGCGTGATCGCTTGGCCACTGTCATGCGTGATAGTTTCAGCCCTAACATCCCTAGCGGTAGACCAGGCCGAACCGTGCGACATTCTCGAACAAACCGGCTTTGGTCATCTCCCATTTTAACGAGGTGATGTTTGCAATGCTGTAGGTTAGTGATTATTGTTTGTCTACCCAAGGTCCAAAATTTGCGTGTTCTTCAACATATATTGGTCATATGCGTCGTGCAGTGCACATCCATCAATGTCCGCCGCGCTCAGCGGCTTCAACCGCGTGCATGTCGTGCAGGACGCGCCGTTGGGCTCGGGCCAGTCCACCCCGCGCACCGCGGGGGAGGCCACGCCACTGCGCTCCATGTACGGTGACGACCTGCGCCGGTGGCTGGAGTTCGGAAGCGATCTGAGCGTGCCCAACCTGCGGCGCCACGCAGTCCAGCTGAGCAACAGGTCAGACACCGCCTCGCCCCGGCCGGGAGGGAGCGGCGCTCGGGGCAGGCCGAGCGACGGCGGCCGGCCAGACGGCGTCGCTGACGACCCAATGTCAGGGTGATGTCTGTGGCGAGAGCAGCGGGGTTGGCTGGCCGCAGTCGCGGTGCGGCATTGGTGACGCGTCTCAATGGTGCGGCTGGCAGCGGGGCCCTCACCCGCCGGTTCGCGCCGTCACGTAGATAACCGGAACAGTGTCGGCTCCTGGTACAGCTGACCACGCTGCACAGTTCCCTTGCACTAGACTGTCGACCCACTGTGCGTTAGCCTGCTGTCGGCGCCAGCCTCCGGCCACCAGCGCCAGCCGGCAGCCGTTGTGAGCCGGTCGGCCGGCGTGACCGACAGGTACACGGTGGGCGCGTTCCTGTCGGGCCTGATGCGGGTGGTGCAGGAGGAGTGCCCTTCGCTAAGCTGCCACCTGTGCCGCGCCACCGAGGCCGGCCCGCACGTGCTCTGCGACGTGGCAGAGGTGGACGGCGACAACTGCGACGGACTGATCCTGGTCGGCCACGGATACAGAGACGACTGTGCGTACCAGCTGCCGCCCGACCTCGGCCACCGGCCGGCCGCGTACCGAGAAACGCTGGCGTCGGCAGCATTCGGTGGTCATGAGCTGTTGACATACTGATAGCGTTACTGCTGAGACAGAGCTGGCCTCATGTGAACGGTCGAGACATTTGCTAATACGAGACGAAACTTGTAAGAATGTGTACGCCTGCAAAGAAAGAAACATCTCCGATACGTTTTATGGCATGGTTGATCATTCCACTGCGGCTGAGTTTCACCGTTAATGTGTCATACTGGGGTGACTTCCGCTCCAACCAGCATCCGGGGGCTGTCCGTCCACCGCTGCCGCCTCCATTAAGGGGGCGCTTGTGGGCGGCATCTCGCGCCGTGACGGGTTCGCTCTCTGTGTGCGGCAGACGCTGCGCGTTGGCGCACCGTCTGACGGGATCGCTCTCTGTGTGCGGCAGACGCCGCGCGGTGGCGCAAGGTCTGACGGGCTCGCTCTCTGTGTGCGGTAGACGCGCGCGCTGTGGCGCACCGTCTGAGCTTCAGCGGCCAGCTGCAGGGCTCGGGCTCTACCGAGGGCGGCGCGGCGCAGTGTTCGTCTGTGCCGCCGTCGCCCGGTCCGGCCAGCGCCGGCCTGGTGTTCCGCTCGCCCGGGGAGACGGCTGGCTCGGCCGGCCCACCGCCGCCCCGACAGAAGCTGGCCTGGGCGCGCGTCCATGACAAACAGGTGGGCGCCAGCCTCGGCGGCAGGTGGTTGCCGACCGACGCTGGGAGGTGGGAGGTGGGCGCCGGCGGGATTTGGGCACCAACCGCCGCTGGGAGGTGGGAGGTGGGCACCGGCCGCCGCTGGGAGGTGGGAGGTGGGCGCCGACCACCGCTGGGAGGTGGGAGGTGGGCGCCGGCGGGAGGTGGGCACCAACCGCCGCTGGGAGGTGGGAGGTGGGCGCCGACCACCGCTGGGAGGTAGGAGATGGGCGCCGGCGGGATGTGGGCGCTGACCGCCGCTGGGAGGTGGGAGGTGGGCGCTGACCCGGCGGTCATGGCACGGGACGGGTGTTTGCCAGGCGTGCTTGTGCTCCGCGTATAGCCTGTGAGGGCCACCGAAAAATGTCGGGGAGGAGTCTCCTGTGGCCGTTCAGTACGACAGCGATGGTCTACATAATCTATAGCTGACTTGCGTACCCGGAAGCGGCATGTCTCACTTCCATTGCAGAACCTCTGCATCGCGACAGTTGCCCACACACGTCGGGCACCTACAGTAAGGAGATCGTTGGCACCACCGCGTTCTGCTTGCTGTGGGCCACCAGCGGACGGCACCGGCCGGTCGACACTGGCCGCCTACCCACCGTCTGTGGGCTGGTGTTGGCCCGATGCTGTGATGACGGCTGGCCTCGCTGTTCATGCCGGCGGCGTCAGCTGTGCCCGTCCAGCGGACCACCGCCGTCCGCTGCCCACTGACCCGCACCCCCGCCCAGGTGGAGCTGTACACCTACAACTGGCCCAAGGAGAAGTGGGAGCACCTGCACCACAAGAGCTCGGACCTCTGTCAGTGGACCAACGCGCGCTGCTCCCTGCTGCACTCAATCGTTGCGCAGAAGCTGGGCCTGTTTCATCACCAGCCGTTCACCAGGCGTCACGACCAGTCCACCGACCAGGTACGGCTATATCACCAGTTCACCGACCAGGTACGGCTATATGCCAGTCCATCGACCAGGTACGGCTATATCACCAGTCCACCGACCAGGTACGGCTATATCACCAGTCCACCGACCAGGTACGGCTATATCACCAGTCCACCGACCAGGACGGCTATATCACCAGTCTACCGACCAGGTACGGCTATATCACCAGTCCATCGACAAGGCGTACGTCGAGCCATGGACCCACTGTCGTCTGGTGCCCTGGTGGTATGCAAAACATATCAACTACCCGCCAGATCTATCCTATACAGCTGCTCGTCTAGGTCGATATATTTCGCTGCGCATTTTGGTCATTTAAGTGTGGTCATATTGCGCCCATGTGCTTGAATGCGAGGTCACAGCCGGCTTGGTCGCTCCCGACGGGACATAACGCGCGGGCCGGCCGTGCGCAGGGGACCAACATCTACCAGAACCAGATGTCGCACATCGTGCAGCTGATCCGGCAGGCGGCGCCACCGTCGCAGCCGGCGGGGCCGCATCGGCCCGGCGGCGGTCGGACCAGGCTCTTCACCGAGACGCTGCGGGACTGCAAGCCGGGCCCGCTGCCGCCGCCCGGCCCGGCCGCCGACGCCGTGTGCCGCCACGGCCAGCAGCTGACCGAGGTGTACCGCGTCAACAGGAAGGGAGGTCAGTGTAGCGAACGGAGGGCGGCGGCCGGGGGATCGCCTTTGAACGCGCTGATGGGTCTGACGATGGTGGCCGAGTGCACGGCGAGGGGTCGTTTACATTGCCACGTGCCGTCAAATGTGACTGGTTTGCTTAGTAGTTTGAGAAAGAAGCAACTAAGTCTAGCTTGGCTAGTCCAAACTGCTCCGACCGACAGCCCCGCCGTCTGTGTGTGCACAGACGAACAGAAGAAGTTGTACCACCAGTGCCAGACGCTGGAGTCGCTCGACAAGGACTCGACCATGGAGAGTTTCGTGCGTCTTCTGAAGGGCTCCGGCCGTCTGCTGCACTTCTGCTTCACGCCGCTACTGCTGCTGCCGTCCTGGCGCTGGCAGACGGCCGTCACGCGCGACCAGGCGCTGCTGACGGCGCGCGAGCTGGCGGCGGCGAGCGCGGCGCGCGCCGGCCGGCCGCCGCCGCGCGTGCGCCACCCCTCCGAGACGTCGTGCCGCTCCGGCGGCCGGCCGTCTCCCCGCCTGCGCCGCCAGGCGGCCGACGAGCGCTGGCACGAGACCCTCTGCACGCTGCTGCTCGGCGAGTACCTGCAGTACCTGCAGAAGATGGGCTTCCTGCCGCTGCAGTACGGCCTGAAGGGGCCGCGCCGGCCGGAGGCGGCCGAGCCGGCCGTCGTCGCATACCTGTACAGGGTGATCCTGGGCGGCGGCGGCTACCTGCTCTTCCAGATCGGCGTCGAGGAGCCCTTCTTCTACGTCAAGCTGTACGCGCTGGAGGGGCTGCGCGTGCGGCTGCGCGGCCGCGCGGCGCCCATCAACCCACAGGTCAGCCGCCGACGGGGGGCGGGGCGACACGCCGCGCTCTCTGCCGCTGGCGGCGGCTGGGTCAGCCGCGGCATGTAACGCCGGGTACTGTGAGGGTTTTGCTGTACTTTGCGGTGGGGTAACGCTTCATTTCACGAGCTCATTTGCAGTATGTTGTGCTGCCCCCCTCCCCCGTGACATTCGAAGAGGTGGCGCTGCCTCACGGGTGCCTCTCCGTGTCCAACCGCTCGTTCGGCTGCCAGTCTGGCCGGCTGCCGGCCGCTGGTCTGACGCCGGCCGCTGTCCGGGCAGATGGTGCAGAGCTACCTGGCCGATTGTGACGACATCGGCCGCTGGTCTGACGCCGGCCGCTGTCCGGGCAGATGGTGCAGAGCTACCTGGCCGAGTGTGACGACATCCGGGCGCACACCCACCTGCACTCGTACATGCACGACTACCACCTCCGCATGATGCAGCAGTACGTCGGCGGGCGGCCGCTGCTACTCCGCCAGGGCCTGCACATCATCTCCTTCCTGGAGGACTTCTACAACTACTACCCCAAGGGGCCGACGCACGCGCGCAACTTCATGGCCACAGGTGGGACGGCCGGCCGTGCGGCACGCGCTCGGCTGTGTGGTGTCGCTGTGTCCGCTCGTGGGTATGGCCCGGGGCGTGATGTGCTCTGCCCAGGGCACCGGTGCCAGTGCCGGAGCACCAAGGCTGCATCGTCGCCACCAGCGGGCTCGCCGACATGAGGTTTGGGTTTGATGGTGATGACGCGCCGGTGTGTGGGCCGTAACGCCGTCCGCGCCGCCGCCAGGCTCGGTCACGTTCGAGGAGCAGACCTCCACCACACCGGACCAGCTGTACAACTACCTGCTGACGCACGAGAAGCGCTACAAGATGCGCGTGCTGCGGATGATCCCGCTGTTCGAGGACAGCGGCGAGGAGACGGTGAGTGATGCCGCGTGGAGCCGGCTCTCAGCAGAGAATGGGCTTGCGAAAGGCCGGCCCACCGCGAGAGAGGTCGGTGTTTGGTTTGGTGTCAATCTGGCGTGATGTGCGCCGGGCGCCACTAGCGCCACGGCTACCGAGCGCTAGCGCGGCGGCTAGTGCCGAGAGTGAGAGTCAGTGATATATCCGCGCACGCATGCGACACACCTCCGTGTCATTTACATTGAAACCGAACATGGCACGGTCGATAGGACCATGATGACACGGGTGTACAGGGTGTGATTGCGTGTGATCGTGTCACTGTGAGTGGTGACGGACTGGTGCCATGAAGGACAGTGAGGAGCACGTAGCGCGCCTAACGGTGCTGCTCCAGCGGCACTCGGAGATGGCCGCCTAGGCCCAACAGGAGGCCTCGCAGCGTGACGCGCGACTGAAGGCGGTGTTGGAGCGTGCTCTGACGCAGAAGGGTCTAGCAGCTCCGCCGCCGGTCGACGCCGACGCAGTCGTGCAGGCTGCTGCTGCCGCCGCACCCGCATGTCTCTCAGCCGGTGCCATCTACGCGCTGCACCTGACATCGGAGGCGTCGCTGAGGGGGGTTTGAGAGTGGCGGCAGAAAATGTGCGATTATCGGCTGCTCACCCGGCTCGACTCAATGCCGGTCGGGGAGCGGAGGGCCGTATTAGCTAGTGAGACGGCTAGTATGAACAGTGCCGCGCTGCGAGGTGAAACTGTTACTGTGGGAAGGCTATCCGCTTGTCGGCAGCAGCAGCGGCAGTGCAGAACGTATCCGCGGACTATTTTCACGTGGCTAGCTAGACGTATCTCGTGGATGTGGACCGACTGTCGGGCTGGCCGTACATCACCGTGTGCCCGCGGACGGCATCAGCAAACCATCTGACCAAACAGCTCCGCACGCTGTCTGCGATCACTGGTGTTCCGGCGGTGCTGCGGACTGACGGCGGACCGCAGTTCGCATCCTCGACGCGGCGCCGGTTCCTGGAGCGGTGGGGAGTTCATCATGAGATGTCGCCTCCCAGATATCCACGCTCGAATGGACATGCCGAAGCCGCCGTGAAAGCGGTAAAAAAGGTTGTCAGTGCCGCGTCAGCCGGGGGCCGCCTGAGCGACGAACAGCTCGATCGCGGTCTGCTCGAGCTGCGCAAAACACCGCGGGCCGACGGTCGGTCGCCTGCACAGGTCCTTTTCGGCCACACGCTGCGGTCAGGTTCGGTGCCTATGCACCACCGTGCCTGCGCCGCGGAGTGGCAGCGGGCAGCCGGCCAGCGCGATGAAAGGGCCGCCAAGATTGCAGAGGACGTTGGACATCGACACGACCTGCGATCCCGTTCACTCTCAGCCCTGCGGCTCGGCGGCAGCGTGGACGTTCAGAACGCCGAGACTCGTCGCTGGGACCGCTCTGGTGTCATCGTCAGTATCGGCCGGAGCGGGCGGATCTGGTGGCGGAACAGGCGGTTCCTGCGGCCCCGTTGCCCACTGCAGGCGAGCCCCGGACCTCAGAGCACGCCGGGCGGCGCGGCCGCCGATGTGCCGCCGAGCACGCCAGGTGGCGCTATGCAGCCGGCCGCCGCCCAGGTGCCGCCTGCCCCACCCGCGGAGCCGCCGCTCCGCCGTGGCGTCCTTCGGCGCACTCCGCAGTGCGCCGAACAGGCGAACAGAACAGGCGATCGGCGCACTCCGCAGCGCCTTACCGTCCGCGGGGGTGGTCAGATTTACTTAAGTAGATTCGTGTGTTCATCGCAGATTTCGTCGAGTTCATTTCCTTTCGGTGTGTTTAAAAGTGATGGTGTAATCACTTAGGGGGAGGTGTTTGGTTTGGTGTCAATCGGGTCTGACGAGCGCCGGGTGCCACTAGCGTCGAGAGTGAGAGTCAGCGATATATCCGCGCACGCACGCGACGCACCTTCGTGTCACTACATTGAAACCGAACAGTCGGCTCGCGCAAGCTCGGCCCCCCGGAGAGAGGCTGCGGACCTGTCGGCTTGTATGGGCTTGTGGGGTGCACTAGGCGTGGGCTGGTCTGGAGCTTCACGCCAGCCTGGTGAACTTTGCAGTCCAGTATCTCTGTATAATCTTGGCGTGCCATGCTGCCTGGGCGCTGTCCGTCCTGAGTCTTTCTCCGGTCCGACCGGCATCTGACGGCGGCCGCCTCTCTGGCCGGCGCCGCGCAGACCGAGGACGAGTACGTGCTGGTGCAACTGAACCAGCGCGAGGTGCGGCGGGCCGAGCCGGCGCAGCAGCCGGTGGTGTACGACCTGGCGCTGGTCGTCTCCCGCGACTTGGCCGACCCGGCCGCCGACACCCGGCTCCGGCTCAAGTTCTACGTGCTCATGACCAGCAGGTGCGTGCCGCCGGCGGCAGCGCAGGATGTGGCGGTGCCGTCCCGCCGCCTGCCGGAGCCGGCTGGGCGGCCACCATACCGGGGGCGTCATGTCATCGTAACGCATGGGATTCCCTGTTCGTGTGGGTGGTGCTGAGCTATCGAACACGGACGACTTGGAAGTGTGTTAAGTTGCAGTAATCGTATTTTCAAACGGACATGCGTTACCTGTTTGCTTGATTTCCAACATTGGTTTCCTTTTTTCCAAGCATATTACTGATAGTCATACTAACACCCGTATGGCATAATTGTGTGCAGCTGTCAGACATGGTGCTCTCAGAGACCGCTGCATGACGAGTCAGCAGGGTCCTCGGACTTGAAATGAGTATCTAATACAATACACTGTCTTCAGGGACATCTATCCCAAGGTGTTCATCGAGAGGAAGTTCGAGAACTACCGGCGCGTGGATACGGCACCCGGCGTCCTGGCCGACCCGCCGACGGCCCCCTCCTCCGGTCAGTCTCTCACCGCTCAACTTCCCCCCTCTCCGGTCAGTGTCGCCCCTCCTCCCCTCTGCCTCATCCTCCGGTCAGTATCGCTCTCCCCCGCCCCTCCCGCTCCGCTGTGTGCGTCTCTCTTCCTCTCCTCTCTCACTCTCGCCCTCTCTCTCTTTCTTTGTCAAGTCGCCTCTGGCTGTGTGTGCTCTGCTGCCTGACAGAGCGGCCCTACCCTCGGCGCTGCTTGTATGGAGCTCTCTGGCTGTGTTGCCATGCTCTCTGCTCCGTCTCACATAACGCCTCTGCCACTAATCCGATGGGTCAGGGCCCTTTACTCTGTGCACTCGCTCCCCCACACGGCGCCCCTGCTCATGAAGGTCAGTCAGAGCCCAGTCCGGGTTCCCCCGCCCCGTCCCGTCACACAACGCCACGGTCCATCGTTAGGAGGCTATGCGGTACCTTCCGGCGTGCTCGCTGTAACTTCTCACCCTCTCACTCTTCTGACGGCTCCACTGGGCCGATACGGATGGCTGCCTTGCTCGCCGCGTTTCCGCCAGCCGTCATCTGGCGGACCGTCGGCTGGGGTCGCTGGTGGGGGCCGACGGTGCGGGGACACGAGATAGCCGGCTCCTCCGCAGCGGAGAGGTCCGCAGCACTGCTCCATAACCTATCCCCGTGCCTTCCTCGGTCGGTGTTGTGGCGCGCGCTGACTGCCTGTGCGGTGTCGCGGCATGCTACTGGGGTGTGCGGTGGTAGAAGCTAGCCGCGGCATGTCTATGTTAGCGTCTCTGTCTGGCAGCAGCGCCTTGCCGGCTATAGTCGGTCGGTGTTTGCCGCGTCGGTGTAGCTGCCACTGTCGTAGCTCACAGCATTTGAGCATTGTGTAGGTGAAGGACCACCGACTGTCGCTGGTGTGGCGTGGCCTCAGTCTGTGCCAGTGGTGTGTGCGTGGTTGCGGCGGTGTACGGTCGGTAGCCTCGTGCGGTGATGGCGGCGGGCCGGCCCAGTCACCGGCGCTGGTGCTGTCTCTTCGCAGGCTCGGTGGTAGTCCGCGATCGCCGCTCGCAGAGGTCCGGTGAGTTCCCCGGCCCCGCCTGCCCGCGCCGGCTCCCGCCCTCGTGCTCGCCCCTCATTACCGACGTGATTAGATAAGACGCCGTCGGAAAATTTGAATCGTGTGAGGTTATCGTTCATACATCGTCACTTCTTTTGTTCAGGCCGTCCGTGTTGCGAGTTCCTCCCGTCTGATGGTGGTCAGGGGCGCGTCCCTTCCTGTTTCTGTGCGAGTCCATCCCGTCTGACGGTAGTTGAGGTCAATCCTCTGTGGTTTCGCGTGAGTCCAGCCATTCACCGTCTCTCCGTCGAATCCGCAGAGACGAGTGGCACTAGCAGCGAAGACGCCACCGGCACCAGCAGCTCCGGCAGCGGCTTCTTCAGCTCGTACAGCACTCTCAGGTGAGTCCGCACGGTCGCTGCTTTGGTCCGCAGCGGCTCAAGGCTCCTGTGGAGAAAGCGTGTGGCCTTATGAATTGCTGAGCTTTTTGAAAATATACGTTGGATCTGTTTTGTCTTATCATATCACAACGCATGTAATTGCCGTGCCGATGATCTTAGCTTTTCCCCCACGTCGACTGATGTGGGGAAAAGTGCCGTGCCGTGCCGTGCTGATGATCACGACATTTTCCCCAAGGCAAAAAAAAACTGGCGAATCGCGTTGGTGATGAGTCTCTGATCCACGCCTTGTCGCCTTGACACCGGCCTTCTGCCGCAGGCCCGAGTCGGTGCACTACCTGGGCTACTTTTCGTCGCACGAGCAGTACATGCAGGTGGTGCTGGCCGACGAGGTGGAGCGGGTGCGCCGGCGGATCCTGGAGGTGGTGGGCCGGGCCAAGGTCCACTGCAGGTACGTCAGCCGGCCGTTGGTGCGGCAAGTACAGGCGCCACCCGTCGCTGTATATGGGTTCAGTCACGCCGGTGGCGCGAGGCCGTCATTTTGTGCAGGGTGCACCAGTCCGGTCTGTCGCGTCGCCCGTTACGGCTGTCGTTCTCTCGGTCGGCTCCGCCCAGTGATGGCGCGCCGAGCGGCGGTGCCCGGGAGCCGGAGCGTGCCCGCCCAGCACGCTCCGGCTGGGCGGAGCGTGCTGGGAGAGCATAGAGACCAGAGAGAGCATACGTTCTCGCTGGCCCGCCCAGCCGCCTCTGTTCGCCGCTGTGCTGGTTGTGTGGGTGTGGGTTCAGGTGTGTGGGTGTGGCCGCCTCTGTTCGCCGCTATGCTGGTTGTGTGGGTGTGGGTTTAGGCGTGTGTGTGTGTGTGGCCGACTCTGACCGGCGCCGCTGTGCTGGTTGCAGCCAGGCGGACGCGTTCACCAGGTAACCGAGAGCGTGTTGCGCGCTGCCCCTCCCCATCCCCCTGCGCGGCAGACTCGGACGTCCGGTGATGGACGGACAGCCGTCCAGACAGCCACGCTGGCACCCGGCGTCTTGGCCGCAGCCTAGCTGTTCGCGATGTCGTGCAGTTGTCTCCGCATGCTAGCACAGTCATTGTGGTTTGTTGACGCACACACCGTGGCGGGGCGTCCCGGCGGCGGCCCCGTGTACTGTACGCCTTCGTCTGAGCCCTGTCGTACTCCAGTTCCACTGCATGGCCTCCCACGCAGAGGCTACCAGGTCACTGCATCGCACGCTTACGGGAAATACCGCCAGTTATGGAGGACAGCGTCACATTTCGGCTCAAGGTCGCGTGTTTATCCGGCGGACGGAGCTGTGAGCCCCGCAGGCGCCTAACCTGTTGCCCGGTTTGAAACTAAAGCCGCCGAGCAGAAACTTCTATGGCATATGCATTTAGCCCTGACAGGAATGTGTTTGTTTCATTTGTATCTGAGGCTCGTTAGAACTAACGTTAGCCGTGTTTGAGCCACTATATGTTTGCTGATTTTGAATCATGTTTAAACTGTAGATGCGCGGGCGAATTGCGTGCCTTTTAAGAAAAGCGCGCGGTCGGCAAAAAGTGCATGTTAGCAATATAAAACTGATGATAGCTTACCCATCCACTTCAGCACGTGCGTTTAATGTTGCTAGCCGTTTAAAAATGTGTGTGGGTTATGCAGCCGCTTAGCTAATGCATAAGTTATGCGCCTGCCCACCTGCCGTGAGACCAGTCTGCACTTTGCATCGTGGGTTTCGTCTTTGCACTGCGTTGATGGGGTAGTGATAAGCATTAAATTATCAAGTACAGTTTTATTTACCGCAAGCGTGAATGCGAGCGATGAATTACTGTTGTCTATTTCACAAACCGTGATCTGCTTATGAATGAGCTTAAGTTTCCGAGGTATGCGCAGTCAAATGCGCATGCATTCATCGTTTTATTTGTTGGGCTGTGATGAGCTCTCTATCCGTCTTTGAACGCCCGCGCGGCGACACTGCACTAGTGGCGCTGGGGCTGAAGCAGGACGGTTCTGTTTCAGACGAGACTCACTCTGGCAGCGGCTCAGGGAGGAGGACGAACGGACCCGCGGCTCGGTATGTGTTGTAAGACCATGGCCGCCTGAGACGCCGCTGGTGCCTGTGGCTAAGACCATGGCGCCGGCGCCGCTGGTATCTGTGGCTCTCCTGGGGGACGCCGCTGGTGTCTGGCTCTCCTGGGGGCGCCGCTGGTATCTGGGGCCCTCCTGGGGACGCCGCTGGTATCTGTGGCTCTCCTGGGGGACGCCGCTGGTGTCTGGCTCTCCTGGGGGCGCCGCTGGTATCTGGGGCCCTCCTGGGGACGCCGCTGGTGTCTGACTCTCCTGGGGACGCCGCTGGTGTTTGTGGCCCTCATAAGGGGAGTCCATTTCACTGGCCTCCGCGTGTTGTCTCAGGCCGGTTTTGTGTTTGGGTTGTAGCAGGGAAGCGTTGTGGGTGCTGGCTCGATTTCGCACATGCATGGACCAGGCCGATCTGGAATTCGGGAGTGTGCATCCTCTCTGCCACTGCGTTACCGTTCCTGCCTTCACTAGTGGGATCCAGCTGCAAGCGCTGGGCGCTGGGGGCCGCCGCTCCGCCCTGCCCCTCCGTCAGCGACCGAACAGACACACTGATGAGCGGGGTCACGAACGGAGCGCTGCCGTCTATGCCCCGCTCCTTCCCGCCTCTCCTTCAGCGACCGGACAGACACACTGATGAGCGGGGTCACGAACGGAGCGCTGCCGTCCATGCCCCGCTCCTTCCTGCCTCTCCTTCAGCGGCCGGACACACGCCCTGTTGAGCGGGGTCAGGAGCGGAGCGTTGCCGGCCGTGTGCCGCTCCTTCCCGTTTCTCCTTCAGCGGCCGGACAGACGCCCTGATGAGCGGGGTCACGAACGGAGCGCTGCCGTCCATGCCCCGCTCCTTCCTGCCTCTCCTTCAGCGGCCGAATAGACGCCCTGTTGAGCGGGGTCACGAGCGGAGCGCTGCCGGCCGCGTGCCACTCCTTCCTGTTTCTCCTTCAGCGGCCGGACAGACGCCCTGTTGAGCGGGGTCAGGAGCGGAGCGCTGCCGGCCGTGTGCTGTTCCTTCCTGCCTCTCCTTCAGCGGCCGGACAGACGGCCTGTTGAGCGGGGTCACGGGCGGAGCGCTACTGGCTGTGCGCCGCACCGGCTCGCCGGACCAGGAGCGCCACGGTGACAGCGGCCGCCCGGTCTGTGTTGCAGTCGGCAGGCGGGCTGAGCTGTGCCGAGATGACGGAGCTGCTGACGCTGGTCTGCTGCCAGCCGCTAGAGGACATCGACCCCAGGCTGAGCCCGCTGGTGCAGCAGCCGCTCAGCTGGTACTCGGGTCTCATCCGCACGCTCACGCACAAGTACTCGGACTCGCATCGGTCAGTGGCGCGGCCCGGCCCGCTCCCTCCAGCTCACGCTCGGTGGACTCCGGCTGGCGGCGGTCCACATCCCGGTCCCTTGGCGGCCCGTGTCTCACTCTCCAGCTCACGCTCGGGGGACTCCGGCTGGCGGTGGTCCACAGCCCGGTCCCTCGGCGGCCCGTGTCTCACTCTCCAGCTCACGCTCGGGGGACTCCGGCTGGCGGTGGTCCACAGCCCGGTCCCTTGGCGGCCCGTGTCTCCCTCTCCAGCTCACCCTCGGGGGACTCCGGCTGGCGGTGGTCCACAGCCCGGTCCCTTGGCGGCCCGTGTCTCACTCTCCAACTCACGCTCAGGGGACTCGGGCTGGCAGCGGTCCACGGCCCTCGGCGGTCCATGTCTCACTCTCCAGCTGGCGTATGATCTTGGCTGCTGTCTCAGCTCCGGCGCTCTCCAAGCCCGCCTAGTGTTCGGTACCGCAGACTCCAGCTACTCAGTGCTCTCCCGTGCTCTGAACGCCGGGTGCTGGGCGGCTCGCCCGCCCTCTGGCCGCGCGCCGTGACCGCTGGCACGAGCCGGCCCCGCCGGCCGCGCAGCGCCGCTGGAATGTAACGCACCCCACCCGGCTCGGCAGCTACTACCAGTCGGAGTCGGGCTCGCTGCGCTACCTGGTGGTCATCCTGCCGGCAGAGTCCAGCGCGCTGTTCGTGCTCACCGTGGACTCGGAGTCCGCTCACCGCACGGCGGTGAGAGGGGCTCTCACCTGGTGGTGTCGGGCTAGACGCTAGAGTCGGACGACACGCGGCTGGTGGCGTGTCTTCGATGTGCGCGATGGGTGCTTGATGAAGCCGTGATATTTATTGAGATGATATTTCTGCCTTACAGCCTTTTAAGCCATCTTTGTAGACCTGTGTGCGGTTTTTGTGTGGGTGATAGGTGGACGTGATATTTGTAAATAATGTTAGAATATTATTGGAATTCGAATGTTACCTCGCTAATATCACAATATGGTGTGATAGCTTAGCATACAGTTGCTTTACTGAAAGCTATGAAAGCACGCACGGTGGGCATACGAGACTGCAGCCCTTGGTTGGCAGGTCAAACACCCCTAGAGGTGCTTTCGAACGAAGCGACCAAAGCTGCTCCAGCTTAAATGTATCTCAGAACAGACAGCGCATCAATGGTTTTGAGATCTCACAGCACTTACGGTTGTGAAGCAACGCGTTAGTCTGCGGAGAACACGGAGATCCCGGAAACCAGGGGCATCTAGATACTGACCTGGCCCTCCGTACCAGTGTCCCGGGTGCGTCGCTACCTTGAAACTGTAGCCAGGGCCGTGCGGCGGGTGTGGGCTGCTCCAGGGCTGTGTGTCGGTTGTGGCCCGGCGCTCCTGGTACCGGTCGCCTGACGCAGCCTGACGTGGCTCTCATGTTACCGACAGCACCTGAGCCTGGTGACGAGAGAGCCGAGTCTGGGCGAGCCTTCGGACGCGCCGTCTCCGTCCGCTTCGGACGGCGATCTGCTGCTGCGCCGACTCACCGAGCAGTTCGTCAACTGCTGCTGCTATCAGATGTGGGCCAGCTTCGTCCAGTAGCGGCCGACGCTGGCCGCTGGCCGCTGACCGCTCGCGCTCGCGGGGCTCGCGGGGCTCGCGCTCTTCCCCGATGTCGGCGGCCGGGCACGTGCTCCCTGCCGTCGGATCGGCACGGCAACTGGTCACGTGATGGAGCTCCAGGTGGAGGCCTTGCCCCGTCGGCTGGTCACGTGGTGTGGTGGTGGGGTGAAGCTCAGCCGTTTCAGTGGGTCACGTGACGCAGGTTTGCCTGTGCCGGATGCTGGGGGCGGCCCCTGCCCTGAGCTTCGAGTAATCGGTGTGCCACAGTGGCCGCTCTGGCGTGGCTTCAGAGCAGCAAGTCTTTGTTATTAGTTCGTTTGGGGTTTGCATGCTACTGTTGATTTTTCTTGGCGAGAGGGGGCACAAACCATTGTTGGAGGCAGAATTACTAACTGCTCGGTTACCTTTCGGCCAGCGAGTGGCCCCGTGGAAGTTCTGTGGTCGTGAGGCGCTGTGCTGTGATCTTGCCTCACTGCGACGCGTCGGATCAGGTAACGAGAAAGTGTAGCAAGGGAGACATTGGTGCGAATTCCTTCTCTTGCATATATGTATGCGGCTCTGCCGGGCGCTGGTGGATTACGTGTTGCGGGTTGTGCCTATCGAGCTTGCTTTTGTACGCCATCGAGTGTGGGTTGTAGCCGGAATACTTAAACCGTGCCTTGTCATTCATCGGCGTCACGATTTGTGGGACTCAAACAAATATAACGGTGTGCCTATATTGTAAAAAGAACACAGTTGAAGGGTTATGGTCGTGCTGCGCCGATCGCTGCGCACTGACGTCGACTACCGCGCCGGCTGTTGTGATACGGTATTGGACGGCGTGGATGTCGGGTGTGCTGGTGCCGCCAGCGATGTGACCCGGATGACCCGTTGGCGGAAGCGGCGCTGATCCTCTGCTGACCTCCAGCGCTCAGTGTGACCTGTGCAATGAACTGGCATGAGCGTGAGCTTGGGCATGAGCTGTGCCACGCCCTGTGTGCCACTTCCGCCTGGGCTGTCTGGCGGCGTCGTATGCTCCCGCGTATGGGCGCTATTTGGCCGGACATTTTTACTCGTGACGATGCCAGTACAGTGTCCGGCTGATTCCCAGTTCATGCAGTGTCCTGCTAATCGCCATATACACGATGTTGCATGGTGGGTGGGGTTGTGTGCTCTGGCGCCAGACGGGAGGAAGGGCCTGCAGAAAGACCAAGGCGGTGCCCTAGCACTTTTTTTTAGCTGAGGCGTTAGACTTCCCGATGCGGAGAGACACCTGAGGCTCCCTGTCGTCCTGACCAGTCGGGAAGGCTCCCTGTATTATCAGCGGGTGGCGAGAAGCCTTCGATTCCAATTTCGATAGCGGACGGGATCTTTTCAGACTGCTCCTTTAAAAACATCGCCAACGAGGTAACCGCGGAGCCGAGACCTTACGGAGCACTTCTGACACCGCTCCTGCCTACCGTTTGAGCTCGGTTGGCCAACGAGGTTACCGTGGAGCCGGGACCATACGGAGCACTTCTGACACCGCTCCTGCCAACCGCTTGAGCTGGGTTAGCCCACGAGGTTACCGTGGAGCCGAGACCGTACGGAGCGTTTCTGACACCGTTCCTGCCTACCGTGTGAGCTCGGTTAGCCCATAAGATTACCGGGGAGCCGAGACCGTGCGGAGCACCTCTGACACCGCTCCTGCCTACCGTTTGAGCTCGGTTAGCCCACAAGATTACCGGGGAGCTGAGACCGTACGGAGCACTTCTGACACCGCTCCTGCCTACCGTTTGAGCTCGGCCGGTCGAATCCGCTGCGTGGGAAAACCCGGCCCAATATCGTTACTTTTCGAAAATATAATACAGGTATGCGGCTACGGCAATAATACAATACGGCTGTGATTACAGTGTATGCGGTCTACCTAAGCAGTACACATGCGCCCCATGCCGCACACCGCTTCCAGTCACAGCAGCCCCGCACTCGCAAAACTTGGGCACCACCTGTCGGACACTGCTGGCGTCTGCCCGCTAAACCCGCGGCCGCGCGGGTTTAGCCGGCTCACAGGCAGGCGAATAGCCTCAGATTAGGAGCTCCGTCCTGGACACGCCGGTGGCGAGCCCTGGGGTACCCTAGGGGTATCCTAGAAGTAGCCCAGGTGGTTCGACTCTTGGCAGACTCCTCCCGCACTCCACCCGGTCTCACGAAGTCGCACCTCTGCAACGCTGCATTGCTGCGCTGAACGCGCTGCTTCAATGCTGGAAAACGACGGCCAGATAATAAACTATTGAATATGGCCACAAATCTGGCAGCATAAGATTCAACCATCTACGACGCATATGTGCCGTATCCCTGCGCTCTGCTATCTTGTGATCGGCGCGCATCTACAAGAACAAGCTTCACGTGTTTTGTCCGCAGCCCACAGACGGGCTGCATGTTTACAGGGAGTTGGGCCACATAGCTTCCAAGTTACGTATTACGTAGTCTTGCTCGCCAATCGTACTGTGAACGTGGTTCTGAATTGGTCACCGCCGATCAAGGTACCGGTTACAGGTAAGATGCATGGGTAAGATCAACTCAAAGGAGTCAAATGTTTATTATGATGGACCACGGGTGCTCTATGCAACCATGCAATGTTATTTGTTCCATGATATTGGACTGTAGACAGATAAAGTCTTATGGTGTTTCATATGTTGTTTCAATTTTGATAAGCCCATCGCTGTATGTTGCCATAATGTTCCATAATTATTTTAATGAAATTATAACTGCAGAGCATCATAGGTGTACCATTAACATCACACACAAAATTTCAGTGCATGTATACAATAAATATGAGTGCTTAGTTTGGGACATGCTCACCACCAAGCTTAGGGCATAAGGGAGTCCATGTTTTGGAAAATGGTATCACTGGGGAAAATGCTATAAAAGTCATGTTAATTAATCAGATAATTTTTTTCTGACTTGATAAGGTCTGAATTTTGTGCACACAACATAAGGGCTAAGCACACTAAGGCCACATATGAGGCTGGTGCAGGTAATGTATTTTTATTGATGGGAGTTGGGTAAGCTTTGATAATTTATACCATGTTTGGAATTGGTTCCTGTACCTTTGGGCTATGATAGCTTGGCATATAGTGCACATTGCATGTAGTGCTTGCTGCCCTCCCCTGTGAATAGGCTCTCACTTGTGCTGGAATTTCAGGACCAGATAACATGAGTCCTCTTCATATTGAAACACCAGCACTGTTGTCACCCTCTCTGACAAGACTGGCTGGGAGACATGTCTATCTGAAACTGGAGAATCTGCAACCTTCTGGCTCATTCAAGCTGAGAGGCATTGGCTGTCTGTGTGAGGAGGTAATGTTCTGTTATCCATCTAAAACACCATAGGGAATTGGTAGCAAAGAATAAGGTTCAATTGGTGTGGTGTTAAAACACTTTCCATTAGCCAATATGAAGTGGAATCAAAAGGAGATGAAGGTATTCATGAACTGTGCATCTCTTGTGTGCATGTTTGGATCACCTGCCTGTGAAATGAGGCAAAGTGATGCCTTTGTCTCTGTAAAGCTGAAAATGCTTTAAATTTTGGTGGTGTGTAATTGTGGTGTTTTAGTTTGCATTTCAGAGTATGTATCTGAAGCAATACCAAACCTGGAAAAACTAGCTTCCTGGACACTCTGTCCCAGTCTCTGTTATCTGGGAGGCCATCTGTTCATCTCCATGAAATTTGTGTCTTGTTTCCACCCAGTCTTGCCTGCTTCTCAGTTGGCCATCCCTCTATGGGCCATGCTGCTAGCTGTACCCCTGTGAATGTGGTGCTGGCTGACAGGCTCGGGCCGCTGGCTGCTCAGAGATCATCTCCTCGTCGGGCGGTAACGCCGGCCTGGCCGCGGCGTACGCGGCGCGCACACTCGGCATGGCTTGCACTGTGTACACGCCCCACTCCACACCAGCCCTGCTGGTGGACAAACTGCGGAACGAAGGCGCCGACGTGCAGGTCAGGTCAGAATCCCCTGACATCGCAGGTCAGAAGCCTCCTGACCTGATGTTGGGATAAGAGACTGCCTGATCTGGAATATCAGGGGCCTCTGGCATGGGGAGCATCAGGACTCCTGAACTCACGGCGGGAATAATTCGCCTCCCAGCTGATGAAGTTTTCTGGAACTCTGTGTAGAACATTGTCCAGCTAACTGGCATGAGGTGTGTCCTCCATAGTTGACGGTTTCACTTTGCTGTGGACGAGACCTTTGCCTTGTGGTGTGGATATAAATATTGTATGGGAAAAAATTAACACTAGCATCCGTTAAGATGATTCCAAAACTATCCGAAAATTGGAAATGTCTCTTTTAGGTCCTACATAGCAAAGAGATAATGTAAGTCCTTTCCATGACTTGTTGTGGTGGCATCTGGTTTGATAATCTTTCATTGATGACAAACTGGGGAATTTTTGGCTCACTGGACGTCACCTTTCCAGATAGTCGGCAAGAACTGGAACGAGGCGAACGAGGTAGCCGTTGAACGCGCCCAGCGTCCCGGCTGCTGGTTCGTCCACCCCTACGAGCACCCGTCCATCTGGTGAGAGCGCCCCACATGGTGTGGCGGCGAGCCCTCTGGTGGGCGGCGGGGCGGCTGTGAATACGTGGCATCGGACCCCTATGGTAGCCTTATGTTAGGAAACATCAGCCGCTGAATACCCGCGCTCCGGCCTGCGGGGGAGGGTGGTCGGGACGCCGGGGATTCGACCTGCGATGTGTCGACGGGGGAGGGTGGTCTGGATGCTGGGGATTCGACCTGCGATGTGTCGGCGGGGGAGGGTGGTCTGAACGCCGAGGACTCGACCTGCGATGTGTCGGCGGGGAGGGCTGTCTGGACGCTGGGGACTCGACCTGCCATGTGTCGGCGGGGCGGGGTCGGTACGACCTTGCGCTTGTGATCCCTTTGCCGTAGAGGTGGTCTGGGGGGGGGGGGGGGGGCGTGGGATGCATCAGGCCTGGGCGGGCCGGTGCCCCGCTGCGTAGAAGTGGTGTGGGGTTGTAGGATGCGGCAGGTCCGGACAGGCAGGTGCCCCGTTGCGTAAAGTTGGTCTGGTGGGGGATGGGATGCATCAGGTCCGAGCGGGCCGGTGCCCGGCTGTGCTGTCAGGCCGGTGCCCGGCTGTGCGCGGGCAGACTTCTGGCCAGGTTGGGCCGACCGAGCGCTGCGGCGCGGCCGGAGCGCCCCGGCCGTGTGGCGGAGCGCTGACCCTCTCGCCCTGCCGCCGACAGGAGGGGCCACTCGACGCTGGTGGATGAGCTGCACCGTCAGCTGGCCGCGCCGCCCGCCGCCGTCATCCTGTCGGTCGGCGGCGGCGGACTGGCCAACGGCGTTATTGAGGGACTCGAGAGGGTCGGTGCGTCGCGTGGTCTCATGACCATCCACCAGTTAAAGTCCCGCGTGTTTCGCGACAGACACAGTCCACAGCTGAATGTGTCGTCGTCCAGCCTACGCTAGCGAGGCCATTTGGCTGTTCATTTCCTGAACCACGCCTTGTCATCGGAGATTGACGTTTCTTGCAGTTTGCAAAGGCACGTGTCATTGAATTCGGATCTATCATTACCATATGGCAGGCATCAGCAATGTGTCTCTGACCCATCGTATTCTTCACCGCCCTTCTGTCCGCTGGCCTGTCTCACTGTCGGTCATAACTCTCTGTGTCCAGGCTGGTCCGACGTATCCGTGGTCGCGATGGAGACGGAGGGCGCCGATTGCTTCAGCAAAGCGCTGGAGGCCGGGAAGCCGGTGGTCTTGAGTGGTATCACCAGGTGAGTCTGGCCGCCGCCAGCTGCACCAGGCTATGGAAGGTTTGGCCGGACCCCGCGCTCGCGCCCTCGCTCCGTCGGACTAGCGGCATTCGTTCTAGAGCGCCGGTGACGTCATAGCGGCTATCGCGATATGCTATTGCCGGTTACTTGGAGGGAATAGTTCGCCTGTGTGTTGAGTTTTTAACTGAAAAAACAACTGCTGCTGAGATCAAGAAGTCATGTTTCAAACGGGTTGGTTGGAAAGCTGGCTACTGCGGTAGAGCAGGTCTTGTTGGTTATCGGTGGGGCTCGTGAGGCCAGGCGGGTGTTGTAGAGAAGGATATGACTGGATGACTTATAAGCCGTCTTTACGAAAGTGTCCACGTATTGTAGGCTGCGGTTGAAGGTTCCCGCAGGCTGCTTTGACAAAACAACACTGGATCCTGGTTTCCACTTGTTCCTTTAAGAAAAAAAGCTAGGGATTCAGATTCTTGATGCTCTTTTGACACACCAAGACCCTGGATCATGGTTTTCTCTGGTTCTGTGGACAAAGCCAAACTCATGACCCTGTTTCCTTCTGGTTCTTATGATGAGACAGGACCGCAGATCCTGGTTCTCGCTGATTCTTTCGGCAAGCAAAACCATGGATCCTGGTCGCCTTTGGCCCATTCAACAACACCAAACCCTGGGTCCTGGTTCCCACTGGTCCCTTCGAGGACGTTGGTCACCTGAATGACCTACATACTTTTGCTTTCAACAAGCAGTTAAAAATCATCCTCCGCAGGCACGTAAAGCAGTCGGCGTGTCCGATACCACCACTACAACTAATGAGGCGTTACTGTTAGTTGAAGAGCGTTTTCCAACATGTATAGTGGGGTAGTAGACAGCTGAAGCCATGTAATTATTATTCCGGGATAAACTAAACTGGGAGAACTTCCAGTGCCCCTGTTGTCTTATGTTAACAAATAGTGAATTGGCTCTGTATTATCTGTATGTTGTGTTCATGTTGTTCTCATTTGTCAAACTTGTAAGTTCCCATCAAAATGTACCCTCCTTAATATCAAAACCAGATGTGCTCATGTCCGCATTTTAGAGGCAGCCACCAGACGGCGTCAGAAATCAAGGCCGTATAGCAGATGAGATGGATGAGAACGCCTCGGATGAGACATAAGTCAGATATTGAATACTGTTAGAACCAGAGCGATGTCGCTAGTATGGATCGGTGAACTGGTCATTGTCCCTGAATTCGTTGGCCCCGAGAAATGAATGTAAAGCTCCAGAGCGAATGTAAAACAATGGCAACTTGATTTTCGTTATGAGTTGTCATACTTAATGCTCTATTTAACACAGTACTGATAGCTGTATACCTAATAAAGAGGAGAAAGGGTATGGAGATGCAGTAATATTTCCGTACATGCCTTCGTACAAAAGGGTTCACGCAAGAGGGTGTTATGTACAGCATTCGATCACGATGAGAGAGAGCTGTGCGTCTCGTCGGGTTGGAAGGAGGACACACCACAGGGGGCACCACTCACCACGCCCCCGACTGTCACTGGTGGGGCTCTGCACGCGGCCATGTGCCCCCCCCCCCCCCCTCCCCCCCGTCCCGACAGCGACCGCGACTGGCGGGCTCCGCACCCGATCACGTGTCCCCCGTCGCCGCTCGTCACCACCTCCGGCCAAAACACACGCTGTCCGGCGACGCGAGTGTCACCAAAACAACAGATGGCGGCATTGAGCTCCGATGCGGGGACAAAAACCAGCTGCCGCCATCTCAGTCTGCAAAACCAGAGCCGACCTGGTTTTGATGCACTGCCCGCGCCGTGCCATTTTTACTCAATAGGGGTACCGCTGGAGCCATGCCGCCACGGCTGGAGCTTTGTATCTGTCTGGAAGGCCCTTCACAAGGCTTGTCTTGACCCCTTCAGTATTTGAGCCAAAGCCCCCAAAAGCTATCAAACCCGCTAAACATAGCAATTCTTAATGTTTTGGGGGAATCGGTCCGCTCTTCTCTCCTCGCAAGACATTTTGTGACGATCCGTTGATCCGTGCTGCCACACAAATACGGTACCGGTTTGTTACATGACGCAGCTATGCGGTACATCGCTGCCTTTTGTATTCATCATGACGCGCGCCGTTGCGTATCCTTCTACAGAGCGTCAGCGACTGTAGAGGTCACATTAGCGATCAGGAGCCATGTCACAGCCTGAGCCCGACCTGGGCCGTCTTCGAAGGTGCTAATCACCCGGCCATTACGCTTCCGCTGCCGCACTGGGCTGCTCCATGACGTAAATTTTCTGTTGCTTAGCTTACTGAACGTTCTAGTCGGGCGGATCGAAACGCTCATCTGGTGACGTCACATTGTCTGACTGGTGACGCCACACCCTGACTGGGGTCACGGGATGGCGCCCTGCTGGCTCAAGATTCATCCCTCACCCAGTCTGGGCTCCGGATGGGGACGGGGGGGGGGGGGCTTGCGGTGGAGAGACGGCGCGTGCCGTGCGGTGACCGCGGGCCCCGTTCCACGCCGTGCCAGGCCGTTGGGGTCTGGTGCGGTGCACGTTGTTGCATGGACGGCTCCTCTGACTCATTTGGGCCTCTCGGTCAGACGCGCACCGGGCGCTGGCCTGTGTCCAGGTCAGACGCGCACCGGGCGCTGACCTGTGTCCAGGTCAGACCCGCACCGGGCGCTGGCCTGTGTCGCTGTCGGACCCGCGCTCGCCTGTGTCACTGTTGGACCCGCGGTTGCCTGTGGCACAGTCAGACCCGCGCTCGTCTGTGTCACTGTCGAACTGGCGCTCGCCTGTGTCACTGTCGAACCCGCGCTCGCCTGTGGCACAGCCAGACCCACGCTTGCCTGTGTCACAGTCAGACCCGCGCTCGCCTGTGTCACTGTCGAACTGGCGCTCGCCTGTGTCACTGTCAGACCCGCGCTCGCCTGTGCCACAGTCAGACCCGCGCTCGCCTGTGCCACTGTCGAACTGGCGCTCGCCTGTGCCGCAGTCAGACCCGCGCTCGCCTGTGTCACCGTCGAACCCGTGCTCGCCTGTGTCACGGTCAGACCCTCACTCGCCTCTGTCATAGTTAGACCCGCGCTCACCTGCGCCACTGTCGAACCCGCGCTCGCCTGTGCCGCAGTCAGACCCGCGTTCGCCTGTGTCACAGTCATACCCGCGCTCGCCTGTGTCACAGTCGAACCCGCGCCCGCCTGTGTCACAGTCAGACCCGCGCTCACCTGTGTCACAGTCAGACCCACGCTCGCCTGTGTCACTGTCGGACCCGCGCTCGCCTGTGTCACAGTCAGACCCGCGTTCGCCTGTGCCACAGTCAGACCCACGCTCGCCTGTATCACGGTCAGACCCGCGCTGGCCTGTGTTACGGTCAGATCTACTCCGACACGTGCAGTTCCCCTGCCAGCAACCACGCCCGGGGCACGATCGCCCGTGTGTAGTTGCGTTTTTCAGTTGTTTGATGATCGTGTAATTGCTTCTTAAAACACATGCAAGACATGAGTCCGTATGTTAGGTACTGTTCCGGAATGTGGCGTGTTTTGGGCGGGGTCCAGACACGTGTCCAGGTGGCTAGCTGGGGTGTGACCGGCCGCCGCGGCCGCGTCGGTGACGGTGCCGGGTCGGCCTGTGCCGCAGCCTGGCCAAGTCACTGGGAGCGCTGCAGGTGTCGGACCGGCTGCTGGAGTGGTCCCGGCGGCGGCCGGTGCTCAGCGGGGTGGTGACCGATCGGCAGGCGGTGGACGCCTGCGCTCGTCTGGCAGGTCAGTGGGCTGGGCCGCTCGCGACCGCTGCCGGGTCAGTCTGCCGCCACCCCCCCCCCCCCCCCCGGCAGGTGGCTATGCCCAGCTGCTCATGTGTGAACATCAGACGCAGAGAGCGTGGTGTGTGCGGTGTCACTAGCAATCACGGTAGGCTGCGCTGTCGGCGTCTGTAAGCGACGGTCTTTTGAAGTGGTGCAACGGTCATTTGTAGGGAGGATGTCACCAGAGCCAGGTCAGTCGGATCACCAGACACCAGACGCTCGCGACCCCGTGCTGGTCTGCCTGCTGTTGTTGGCTTCTGTGTGCTGTGCTGACCGCTGGCCGCGCCTGTCGCCAGCCGATCACCGGCTGCTGGTGGAGCCGGCCTGCGGCGCGGCGCTGGCCGCCATCTACTCGGCCCGGCTGCCGGCGGCGGCCGCGCGCCGGCCCGGTCCGCTGCTGGTGGTGCTGTGCGGCGGCAGCGGCGTCACGCCCGACATGCTGCTCCACTGGCAGACGCTCACGGCCGCCTGACCGCTGTACGGCGTACGCCTGCAGCTTGTACCGCCTGACCCGGGCGGGCACCAGGCAGGGGTTAGCGGGAAGAGACACCAGCGCTCTGAGTGGTGCTCGTCTAGTAGTTAATGCACGCTGCTGATTTGGAGAGAATGATTTCGGTATATTGCTACATTAGCTGTAGTTTTAGAACGATCGGTGGTGTTGGACCATCTATGTGATATATATGCTGCAGTTTCTGGTGTAGACCGCAGCCAGTCAGGGAACTAAAGCGGGTAGCCAACGTGCCAGCCGGCCGGCTAGCAATGTGTAGCTTAGGGGACAAAACATTAGACCTGGAGAGGCGGGGGTGGACAGCTGACCAGGGGCCGCTGGCTGCTCGGTCGGGTGCTCTGTAGGCGGGATGGGTCACAGAGAGCCGGATGGAGACGGGCCACCGGGTCAGGGCGGTGGCCCCGGCCATGCGTGACTGGCTCACGCCATGTTAGAATGACGCTAGAGACCATGGCATAATGACGGGCGAAGGGCATTGTCGCAATGTGTGGTGGCCAGATTGACAGATGGCGTGCGGTGGCCAGATCACGGACAGTGGCCAGATGACGGAATTATGCGCAATACTTCAGCAAGTGTGGTTGAAATACATGGGACCGCAAGGAACACCTCGATGTGTACTTTGCGAAAGCAGATGCCTTCTCGGACACACTTTCAGATGATAGCCAGGCGACTGTCGGTGACGCGGACCGGACGGGACGGAGGCGGCGGCGCATAGCCGGCGGGCCTACTGGTTACGTGCCAGGCGCGGTGCGGTGGACTGGTGCGTCACGATGGCCGCCAGTCCCGGGAACGGGGGTCAAAGGGAGGGGGCCGACTTCTAGTTCTGACGAACACGTCAGCGGCACGAGCTGCAGCGGCGAAGGCCCGGGGACCCACCACCGGTCGCTGCAGCTGCGGGCCCGTGGTGCGGGATGTCGGTCAGACGCGGCGCCAGAGAACCCGCCACCGGCCGCTGCGGCTGCCGGTCTGGTGCGGTCAGACGCGGCGCCAGGTCCTGGCGCGTCCGCCCGTGCACGCAGCTGGGCACGGTGGCTTGGAAGAGCTCAAATCAGCGGGGCCAAGTCTGCGTGCGTAGAGATATGTAAGCGTTCAATTGTTTTATGTGAAACAGACAGCATGCCATTGCGCAGGTCAAAGCAGAGGTTTGCCGAAAATATTAAAGATCCACAACTCACCCTTCCATCGGCGCAAGGAAAAAAAACAACAAACAAAAACGGGAGAAGCACGAGGGAAACAAACAGCGCTGTGCGATAGAACAAACATGCGTCTTTGTGTCCTTATTACAGCACAAATCGAAGGTTATAATTTACAGTGTAGCGAGAACTGAAAAGCATGGCAAGGGAAACAAGAAACGGCATTCAGGAGAACAAATTACGATGCGAGCAACGCGGAGGAGAATGTTCTCACTTGTAACGTTATTCGAGCGTAAAGCTCGCTAACGTACGAGCTGACCATTGACTCATGGCTGGGCGGAATTGAGACTGCAACCATATGGCATGAGTGGGGCAACAGCGATGCGGTTCTAGTTTCAGTGGTCTGTCACGAAGAGAATATTCTACGGAGTTTATGTAATGGCAGAATCTGCACACAATGTGAAGAGACTCGGATCGGGGGCTGGAACCGACCATCTACGTTCGTGGCTAACCAGCGGCCGAGCCACGTCTGCCGGCAACAGAGCGGATGTTTTGCTGCAGCTCTGGGTGACCCGACCAGAAGGCTGATGACACCGGCGGCGGGAGGCGGCAGCGTCCGCCTTCGCGTGCGGTGTTCGTGCGGTGGCGGAAAGCGCCGGTCCGGTGTTGACATCCATTGTGCTCACTAGGGGAGTGGTTTCACAAAGTCAGTTCGGGGTTGAATAGTGAAAAATGGCCCAACCTACCCCCATAATGTGCTAAAAGGCATATAGATACGCCAATAAACTGATACATATGTTCTAACCATGCCGAACTCAAAACAGGTCCTGCCCCAGCAGTGTGCTGGAGACGGCCGCCTTTTATACCACCGACTTATATCCCGAACCAAAATATAAAAAGTATATGTAAGGCTCCCGGACAAGCGGCTGGGAACGCCAGATCTATCCCAGCTTTCAGAGGCCTCCTAAATTTTCAGGCTGGGCAAAAACACTCCCACCTGGTGGACTGTCGTCGCTGTGCGCGCTGCGCTTCGTGGCAATACCGTGCAAACATCCGGCTGCAGGCCGGGCCGGGCCCGCCTGGGCCGCTGGGGTAAAGGTCAGTGGCGTAGGTCTGGGGCGTCCGTTGTCAGAACTGACGGAGAACAAAGATAAACTCTTACACGAGACTCGCTCATTTCTACTTTCTTATTGAGACTTGATGTTTTCAGCTGTGCTTCAGCGTAGTTGTCTGTGAAAATCAGTGATTAATTGAATTACCTGCGACGCATTTCAATGTCCCGAACGCTTCGCATTGCAAAATCGGTTCCAACCAATTGTTGGCACATGAAGCTCGAGGTCCCATTAGCAGGCCTCATTATCCGGCAACGCAGGTAAGCACAGTCAGAGTCCGCACCGCTGACGGAGGCCGCCGCTGCATGGACGACAGCTGCGAGGATGGGCCGGAAGATGGACCGGATCTGAGACAGCGCGTCGGATATGGCTCACGGCGCGTATCGGTCCGGCGCGTCCGCGAACCACCGCTTCCGCCCGGCCTATATAGTCAGCACCTCCGCGGCCCGCCGGCGGCAGTGCGCCTAGCCGATCCGGCCGGCTCGCCTTCAGACGTACACGGCGGGTCAGCAGACGGACCCGGCGCAAGATCACATATCTGCGACACCGCACTACGGCCTGGGGATGAGGTCGGTGGTGTACCTCGCCTGCGTGGCGTCGCTGGCGGCCATCGTCGCGCGAGCAGGTGGGTTAAGACTGTCGATCGTCGGTAACCGCCTCGTTGGCGACGTGCGGAGGAACGGTCGAGTGTACGGCCTGTGGACAGGGCACGTTGTGTCTGCTATGTTTTCGCCATGTCCCGTTTGCCGCTCAGCGCGGCTCCGTTGATTGGCTGCCCTGCGTCTGCTCCCCAGCTGTGCCTAGGACCGCCAGGCGGGCCGCGCTCGCAGGGCCGATCTGGCCGGGTCACAGTCAGCTGACCGGGTCACGGCGCTGGCTGCCGCCCGGCTGGGGCCTGCACCGGCCGCCTCCCCGGCAGCTGCGGCTGTGGAGGTGGCCGCCGGTCAACACTCCAACGGCGTGGGCGACAGCAGGTGCGAACCGGCGGATACTACTGGCCCGCTCCCGGGCCAGGTCAGGACCCGGCTCCTGGGTCAGGTCAGGACCCGGCTCTCGGGTCAGATCAGGACCCGGCCCTCGGGTCAGGTCAGGACCCGGTTCCCGAGTCAGGTCAGGACCTGGCTCCCGAGTCAGGTCAGGACCCGGCTCCCGGGTCAGGTCAGGACCCGGCTCCCAGGTCAGGTCAGGGCCCGGCTCCCGAGTCAGGTCAGGACCCGGCTCCCGGGTCAGGTCAGGACCCGGCTCCCGGGTCATGACCGGGAGCCGAGGGCAACCGATAGGGCGGCCGGCCGCCGCGCACCCCGCTACCGCCCGTGCTGACGACGGTCGCGGGGTGCGCGGCGTGAGCGCTGCAATCGATCTTTGCCACGGGACAGGACCCAACTGACGTTTGCGAATTTGGTCTCGTGGGACCACAAACGCAGACTTGAAATGACGAGTTGTTACATGATGAGGGAATCAAAACGCCTCCCAACTGAAGACAAACGGTGTGATGTGACGGTGGACTCTTTCCAGGCGGGGACGGCTATCGTCACCGTAGTCGCCTTTGGCCCGGCACCTCCCGGGGCGGCGCCTGGGCCAAAGCCGGCCTCGCGAGCCAGGCCTGGCCCCGTCACGGCGTGTCCGCGGTCTCCGTCACCAGTCGGCGTGGTCGTCACGGAGGTCGTCGACTCCCGGAAGCTCACGTCTGGATTCGGGGACGTCATGGTACGACAGGGTGATACTCCCGGGCGCGCAGTGGGCGGTGTGCGCGTACAGTGCTGTGCTGGAAGTAACATATTCTGCTTATGATTGTCTGTCCGCATCATAATAACGTTATTGAACTCAGCTTCAGTCTTGTCGAATTTCAAACATGGCTATTGCCGTAATTTCATCTGGCATTGTCAGTTGTTCAAAGAAGCTGAAACCTTAGGTTAGAAATGTGCAGCTCACTTATGAGCGGCCAACACACATCCGCGTAATAGGAGGCGCGCTGACTGCTCGCTGATGAAATACGGTGTTTACCAAGCATCCAACATGTGGTGCAGGGATAGTGCGCGTCACGTTCATCGCAATTACGGCTGGCCCGGCTGAGGCACCCGTGGTTATTTCAGGGACCGCAGGTGCACACCCGCGCCCTATCGGCCCCGTCTGGCGTTGGAGACGGATTCAGCCGCACCACCGATACCCGCTGGGGACGGCTACGTGCTGGCCCGACGTGACACCTACGGAAGCCGAGCCCACGGCGGCGCCGACCACCGATCCCAGGAAAACTCGACCCGCGCCCTCTGAGCCGGTGCCGACCACCACCGCCAGCGTTCCGCCGGGGACCACAACCACCGCCACCGCTGCCACGACTACCACCACAACCACTGCCGCTGCCACCACCGCTGCCAGCTCCACCGTCGGTCCCGCGCCCGGGCCGACGGGCCACGACAGTCCGGACGACCCGTACGGTCCGGGTGGTCCGCACGGTCCGCATGGTCCGGACGGACCGGGTGGTCGAGACGACCCGTACGGCCCGGATGGTCCGGGTGGTCCGGACGGACCGGGTGCGCCGGACGGCCCAGGTGATCTGGACGGTCCGACGACCGGCGGCAGTGCCGCACCGTCCACACTGCCGCCGCCGCTGGCCGTCACCTCGCCGGAGTGCCCCCCCGGCCTCGTCTATGACCAGGAGCGCGGTGCGTGCGTGGAGGGCTGTCCGGTCGGGGCCTCGTACAGCGATGACGCATGCGTCTGTGACAACCCGCTGTTTGTGGTGGACTTCGCCAGCTGGGAGTGCGCGGAGCCGCGGTTCACGATCCAGTGAGCAGCGCAGCGCGTGTTGCTGGCCGCTTTGTTCGTACCGTGGCTCGTGTGAAATACGTCCGGCAGCGCGCTTATGGGACAGAGAACGTTGCGGAAACATCAAATGACCGGGGTTCCGATTTATCAACGCTCGGCAAGCAACGTTCTCAAACATTATCACCGTACCTATATAAGTCATATCCATTCCTCAGCGTCGTAGTGATGGCTCATCCATGAGAATAATAAGAAAAAAAAACACGAAGAACTTCAATCCAATGGGACGCGTTGCGCTGGGCTCGGCCGTTCAGATATCAGGCAAATGTATCTACTCGCGCAACAAGACGATATTGTTATATCACCAGACACGTGACAGGTGTGAACTCAGACTCAGTATTTGATGGGGCTGGCCCGCCAGTTCGTTCGATGCAGCGATCAGACGATGAAGCATTCAAAGCGTGCAAAAGCGCATCCCAACAGCCCTGGCTGGCAGAAGCGTCGGACAGCCTCAGGTTCGGCCGGCGCTTATACAGCAGTTCAGGCCTGCATTTCGCGACAGATATTTTACAGTTTGGAAGTTTGCTGTTAGCGTTGATCAGGCTTGCTGTGGCGGCTTTGCCAGGATGTGGAATGCAGCGGACAGGGAACTGAAGCGGGAGGGCACATGCCTGCCCACCAGTCAGCAAATTGTACGCTGGGGCCAGTACATTAGACCTAGGCAGGCACGCTGGTCGGTAGGACGACCACCGGGCGGGGCAGGTCAAATGGCATGTCAGAGGTCAGAGACGCACCGCCGCGGGTCACCGGGTCGGAGAGCTTCCTCCCCACCAGTCAGAGGTCAGAGAGAGACGCACCGCCGCGGGTCACCGGGTCGGAGCGCTGCCTCCCCGCCAGTCAGAGGTCAAAGAGAGACGCACCGCCGCGGGTCACCGGGTCGGAGCGCTGCCTCCCCGCCAGTCAGAGGTTAGAGAGAAACGCACCGCCGTGGGTCACCGGGTCGGAGCGCTGCCTCCCCGCCAGTCAGGTCAGAGAGAGACGCACCACCGTGGGTCACCGGGTCGGAGCGCTGCCTCCCCGCCAGTCAGAGGTCAGAGAGAGACGCACCGCCGTGGGTCACCGGGTCGGAGCGCTGCCTCCCCGCCAGTCACGACATGCGTCCCTGGCATCCCGTGAGGCGCGATGTGATAACGTGCGCCGGACAATGGTTGTTTGCGAGTGAGCATGTTGCTCCCTGTGATCTGTCCATTGTTGGCACGCACGCCGCCGGGACTATGCCACGGACAGCATGTCTTTTATAGTTCTAGCGTGCTGTGTGACAGCTACATGGACGGAGATAGATATATTTCACTCGGCCCATTTAGGCGTGACACGGCAGCAATTACCGTTGAAGGAAACGTGACCGCACGACCGAATCTGATATGCACTTCACTTGAGATCAACTGAGCTGAAACGGCTAGCGAGCACCGAACGGCCAACAGAACAGGAAAGCAATGCTTCAAACGATCGCGAAGGACACCCTCGCACAACAAACGCATAGACCGCCTACGTGGCATTTGACTTAAAACGATAGGAACAGCTACTGGAGCAGATCATAACAAACACAACAGGGACCGGCAGGAAATCGTCAAAAATGTACGTCGCCTTACAACAAGCGCTGCACATGACTAGGGTGACGGGCCTGTGTACATCAGACGCACACGTGTAGACTAGACTGACTAGAATGTGACCGACTGGAATGCAACGTGAGAGGCGACCGAACGGGCTGGCTCCACTGGGAGGACGGTCTGGTGCCAGCCCACGCCAGCCCCACCGGGAGGACGGTCTGGCCCCGGTCCAGACCTGACCCCACTGGGAGGACGGTCTGGTGCCGACCCAGACCTGACCTAAGGTAGGACAATCTGGTCCTGGCCCAGACCTGACCCCACTGGGAGGACGGTCTGGTGCCGACCCATACCTGACCTAAGGTAGGACAATCTGGTCCTGGCCCAGACCTGACTCCACTGGGAGGACGGTCTGGTCCCGGCCCAGACCTGACCCCACTGGGAGGACGGTCTGGTGCCGACCCATACCTGACCTAAGGTAGGACAATCTGGTCCTGGCCCAGACCTGACTCCACTGGGAGGACGGTCTGGTCCCGGCCCAGACCTGACCCCACTGGGAGGACGGTCTGGTCCTGGCCCAGACCTGACCCCACTGGGAGGACGGTCTGATCCCGGCCCAGACCTGACCCCGCTGGGAGGACGGTCTGGTTCGGACACGACACGACACCCCCAGAGGCCGATCAGAGCGGCGGTCGAGCACCGCACGGCCCCTGGCCAGGGCGCTGTCTCCGACGACCCTCCGTTGACGCCCCCCCCCCCCCCCCCCCCAGCCGGGACGGGCCGTCCGGTTGCGGTGCCCGCTGGGCTGTACCGTGAGTGACTGAGCCAAATGGACGGATTCGTTTCCTGCCGTGCCGCTCCGCCTCCGCGGCCATGGCACCGCCCGAGGCCGCGGAGACGCCGGCCGGATCACAGAACTGTGCGAGGCGCCAGGCCGGCCGCTCCAGACCGGACCAGGCCGCCGCCGCTCTACACCCGCGGCCATGGCACCGCCCGAGGCCGCGGAGACTCCGGCCGGATCACAGAGCTGTGCGAGGCGCCAGGCCGGCCGCTCCAGACCGGACCAGGAGGCCGCCGCCGCTCTACACCCGCAGCTGCGACCGCGCCTTGTCCAGGATGTCCTTCTTGATCTTGGGGTAGTCCGGGAACTTCTCCATCACCTGGTGACACACGTCTATGGCGTCTACATACCGCTTCGCCTTCAGGTAGTTGAAGGCCAGCTTGAATCCTGAAACGCGGACAAGAAAGACCATTGCGTGGATTACGTCAATAGTACAATAAAAGCAGACGACCATTTGCATGGCACTTCTTAGCCCACTTTTATGGATTGATAACCGACCTGAACATGAAACAAACCGAACTGGTCACCTGTGTTACTTAAACAAAGTCTAACATCGGTATGCAAGGGAGCGCATGAAACGCCATAAAACCCGCGTGCATCAGTGAGTTGGCCAGGTCGTGGCAGCGCAGGTCTGGCAACTACTGCGGCGGCACGCTCAGCGCACCAGCGTCAACGGTAGTCTGGTCCAGGTCCAGTCAGACCGGCCAGACCACCGCGGGCCCTGCGTCAGCCCAGCCCGTCCGCCTGACGCGGCGGTGGGCAGAGCAGACACTCGGCGCACCGTGCCAGTCCTCCCCCTCCAACAGTCACTGGGCCACACACGCCAGACCGGGCAGGTGACGGCCGCCGCTACCGCCGCCGCCCCACATCTCACCGATGGTCGGATTGCTGTGGCGGCTGAAGCGCCACGACATCTCGTAGTTCTCGGCCGCGTCCTTGTAAGAGCTTTCCTTCTCGTGGATGAAGCCAGCGTACTCGTGCGCCTTGCCACACGACCGGTTGTTCTGCAGGATGCGCTGCGATCGGACGCGCGCGTCATGACTCGGACTCTGGGCTAGACATGGGATCACCACCGGACTAACCAGGAGTCATGACTCGGACTGTGGACCCGCCGTGACGCCACCACCAGAGGGTGCCCAGAGCGTGATCGGGTTTGCGGTATAGGTGCGACTGCGCGTCCGAGCCGGAGCGGCTGCCGCCGGCGATCTCGGACAGACCAGCAGCAGACCAGAAGCGCTCTGGCCTGCCAGACCACAGCTGGCTCACGTCGGAGCGCGGCCCGGCACCGGCCCCAGTCAGGGTCCACGGGTGACGCCACGGGCATCCTGACTCCGATTCATCCCTGAGTCCATGAGTCCAACAGTCGTGACCTGTGTCCATACGGTCAGACTGCACCAGGTGGACAGCGTTCCAAAATTCATCCAGTAGGGTGTGCAGGATGTAAATATAAATTCATGTTACCATAATTCTGACTCTTCGGCGGTCCTCGCACGCAATTCGTTGGCGCTACCCCGTTGCCCTTTGACCCCGACACGGACATCTTACCTACTCAGCCCATTTGTCCAGCCTGAGGCGCATAAATACTGATTTGACGGCCGCCCGGTTCGGTGCTGATTGGGCGATTTTGAGCAAGGGGAGGGCCACAGCCAGTGAGCCCAAGGCCGGGGTGTTATAGCATGAAAAAATATCGACATCCCTGCCACCCAAGTGGCCGAATATTGGACCACTGCAGGTGGGCAGCTCTGTGGGGCATAGGTAGGCCACAGTCTTCCCGTCCCAGCCGGTGAGGCTCGGTCAGAGATGCCCGAGTGGGCGGTCATCTGTCACATGTGCCTTATCCTCCCCCCCCCCCCGTTCATCTGTGACGTGATGTGAATGTGAGCAGTCGCCTGTGACGTCCCCTCACCTGGATCACGTCCTGGGCCAGATCGTATTTGCCCGACTGGATGTAGATGTCAGCGAGCAGCAGCCAGCAGCGCTCCAGGTACTCGGCGTCCTCAAAGTTCCACGGGTTTTTGGCCACCCGCTTCAGCTGGTTACGAGCCCGCGGCGTCTGGCAACGGCCGACAAACAATGCTCAGTACTTGAAAACTCATGAGTAAAATCGTCCGACATTGTCAGACCTTTAAATTGTCAAGGTCAAAGTTGCTTAAATTACTGCCTCTCGCTAAACCCATAGTGCTCCGCAACGAACGCAAACAATTTAATACGGCGGGCTAAACCTGCCGCACGTCGGTTTCGACATTCACCATATCGAGCTACTGACACAGAGCCGGCGCGTACATCTGAGCAAAATACATAAGCGTCTCGGATTCGCCTGGACGGGAGACGCACTCCAGGAAGCGGAGCATGACCTCGGGCCTTTCCGGGCGCAGGCACGAGCGGCTGACGGACCTGTTTTAGGAGCATGTAGGCGGTGGCCATGCCGCAGATGGCGCCCACGTGGTCCTTGTACATTTCGGAGCTGGCGATGTTGGTGAACTCCTGCAGCGCCCGTTCGATGTTGCCCTTGTTTCTTGGAAGCCATCAGCAGGAAGTTGGTGAGGCAGCTGATGGGAGATGGTCTGGTCGCCGGGCTTGGGCTTCAGCTCCTGCGGAGCCACCGGCCGGTATACAGGTCAGTAGGCGGCTGACGCGCCGCCGGTCTTGCGCCGGCCTGCCGGACCGCGGCCGAACCGCGGTCGGACCGGCGCTCGGTGTCAGGCCGTGCCGCGCCGCGCACCGCCGGCGGTACACCCCAGCGGGCCAGGCTGTGTGGTCAGTACACCGGTGACATGGTCGGAGTACAGGCATGTATTAGCGGGTCAACACGGGAGCAGGGCTGGCGGCGGAGCTGGCGCCAAACCACAGCACTGTGTGGGGCTGCTGCCGGACCATGGCATTGTGCGGGGCTGGCGGCGGGGCTGGCGCCCAACCACGGCACTGTGCGGGGCTGCTGCCGGACCATGGCATTGTGCGGGGCTGGCGGCGGGGCTAGCGCCGAACCACGGCACTGTGCGGGGCTGCTGCCGGACCATGGCATTGTGCGGGGCTGGCGGCGGAGCTGGCGCCGAACCACGGCACTGTGCGGGGCTGCTGCCGGACCATGGCATTGTGCGGGGCTGGCGGCGGAGCTGGCGCCGAACCACGGCACTGTGTGGGGCTGCTGCCGGACCATGGCATTGTGCGGGGCTGGCGGCGGAGCTGGCGCCGAACCACGGCACTGTGCGGGGCTGCTGCCGACCATGGCATTGTGCGGGGCTGGCGGCGGAGCTGGCCCCCAACCACAGCACTGTGCGGGGCTGCTGCCGGACCATGGCATTGTGCGGGGCTGGCGGCGGAGCTGGCCCCCAACCACGGCACTGTGCGGGGCTGCTGCCGGACCATGGCATTGTGCGGGGCTGGCGGCGGAGCTGGCGCCCAACCACGGCACTGTGTGGGGCTGCTGCCGGACCATGGCATTGTGCGGGGCTGGCGGCGGAGCTGGCCCCCAACCACGGCACTGTGCGGGGCTGCTGCCGGACCATGGCATTGTGCGGGGCTGGCGGCGGAGCTGGCCCCCAACCACGGCACTGTGCGGGGCTGCTGCCGGATCACGCAAGCGCCCCCACCTGCAGAAGTTTCTCGGCCGTGCGCAGCGCCATCTCCTGGGAGCTCTTGACGTCCGAGTCGGCCAGGTCCTCCATGGCCTCGAACGTCTCGCCGCCGATTGTCATGTTGTCCGGGTTCAGGCAAATCTGCCGACCAGAGACGCTATGATGTATCACATACGCTCGGCACCGGCCTGAGCGCGGAGCAGCCGCTGACGTCGTCGGCTCCCCGGGCAGCACCAGACTATATGCCAGGTGATGGCACCAGAGGGATGAGGGCACGGCTGATGCTAACTAGGAGGCCGGCTATAACGTAGTGACGCATTCAGGTTCTCGACTTCTTAAAGTAAAGTTGTTTTTTTGGGGTGGGGGGCACGAAGGTGACATCATTTCACCAACTGGAGGCAGACCCTTCCCAAATTTATGAGCCACGCTAAAAACTACTTGCAATGCAGACCAGTTGGCGACAGGCCACCGTCCCTCCTACGCTTTGTAAAGAAGAGTTTGGGTTTAAATTGTCGTTCCTCATGGAGTATATGGAAACCTTCTTAACTGGAATTTATCTATGGCCATTAGGCATGTTTTCTAGCATAACACGCCGAGAATCGCGACACCTGGACTCAGCGCCATTGTTAACTCTTTTTGAAACTCGACATGACATCAATGGTACCAAAACGTTCACCGTCGTTTTCCTACGAGTAAGTTTTTAGATGACTATGTAAACGATAATTCCTTACATGTTTACACGTGCATACAAACAAGACTGTCAACTGCGCATTGCCTTAAGCACGCCCTCCCCTCCTACCCGCCCCCCCCCCCCCAAGAAATTAGGCAATGGTATGACACAAAGCTTGAAGCGCTTTGCACATGTAGCGTACGCATCAGGTGACAAATTCCAGCACAGAAAATGCAGTGAAATAAACGCGTTTAAAAATAGTACGCAACAAGTTGCTAAAAAGTAATGAATGCTAAGCACGTCCTTGTCCGCCAGAAACACTTGCTGGATGAAATACACTCCGAAACCCGCGGAGCCTTTAGCCAGCGAGCCTCCCCCTGCCGAGGCTGGCGGTGTCTTCCTGCCCTCTCCCCTCAGGGAAGTGGGCCTCGACTGAGCGCGGGCCGGCCCGGCGGCGGCGGGGGGGGGGGGGGGGGGGGCGCAGGGCAGAGCAGGGCGGCCGCCAGCCGACGCTCGCTCACGTTGATCATGTGGTAAACGGCGCGCTGTCCCCACTCGGTGTCGCGCCGCGCCTGGTTGAAGTGCTTCAGAGCGCCGTTCGGGTTGCTCGAGTACCTGAACGTGTCACCGGCAGTCGTCAGACAGCGTACACGGCGAGGGGTCGGCGAGGCACACACACGGCGGCGGACAACGGGGTGCGTAGTCTGGATTACATGGCTGCAGCAGAGGCCGTCTTCAGGGCCCGGTTTCGGCCCCGGCCCTAGCCCCAGCCTCGGCCCCAGCCTCGGCCCCGGCCCCGGCCCCGGCCCCGGCCCCGGCCCCAGCCCCAGCCTCGGCCCCAGCCTCGGCCCCGGCCCCGGCCCCGGCCCCGGCCCCAGCCCCAGCCCCGGCCCCGGCCCCGGCCCCGGCCCCCGGCCCCGGCCCCGGCCCGGCCCCAGCCCCAGCCCCAGCCCCAGCCCCAGCCCCAGCCCCAGCCCCAGCCCCAGCCCCAGCCCCAGCCCCGGCCTCGGCCCGGCCCCGGTTCTGGCCCCAGCACAGACAATGACCGGGACCGGGACCCCGACCCGGACCCGCGCGCCGGAGCGCCGCCGCTCACCACTCGTAGAGCGCCTTGCAGAATGCCAGGCCAGCCTCGTTGGGTCCGCGCTGGCTGGCCTTCTCGGCCTTCTCCAGGTAGTCGGGCACCTTCTCAAGGTGGCCGGTGCGGCGCATCACCTCGATCAGACGCGCCAGCGCCGCAAAGTAGTCCGGCCGGCGCGCTGCGAAGTCGCGGACGGCGGTGCGTCACGGGCAGCACGGGGACACCAACATCGCGGCGGTGGAGGACTGGCACGACACAGCAGCACGGGACCTTTGTGCTAAATTCGTCACATTCCTCAAATTCTGTGACAATTATCAGTCAGAGATGTCATGGACCACGTTCTTCCATGGCCGCTGGCTGCAGCTACATGAACCAATGGCAGCAAACAAGTCCAAAGTCCCGCGGCGCACAGTCCTGGGAGCACTCACTGAGCAGCTCCTGGAAGTGAAACATGGCCGTCTCGTAGTCGTTGCGGCGGAAGCTGAGGTCGGCCATCATGACGGTGGCCAGATCATTCTCCTTGTCCTGGCGCAGCAGCGTCATGCACGTGTACTGGCACTGGTCCAGGTCGCCCGTCTGGGGGTCGCAGCAGAGGTCAGTCACCAGCAGCAGGACGCGCCGACGAGCCGTTAGTCCGGCCAGCGACTCGGGTGCCCATTGCGTCGGGTGACAGCGTTATAATATCGAACTGCCAGCACGGCTCCGCGCCTAACTCGAGAGAGGGAAGCCTGTACAGCCGTGAGTGTGTCACGGATCACCCGTCCTAACGTAGAGCCGCGTTTTGGCGGGAGTGGGCCACGACCAGGCCGCACCCTGTGACGCCTCCGCAGGACCGCAGGCACGAGAGAGCGGAGACCAGGCCCGCACGCCGCGCACAACTGGCCTGCATGTAGAGCCGGGCCAGCGCCAGCAGCGCGCCGGCGTCGTCGGGCTGGTGCTGCAGCGCCTCCCGGTAGTACTTGATGGCCTGCTCGTAGTTGCGCTGGCTCTGGTACCGTTCCGACATGGTGCAGCAGATCCTGGCGGCGGGCGGGCGCCGGTCAGCGGCGGATCGTGGCACGCCTCGGACCGGCAGACACCGCTCCCCGTCCCGGGAGAGACGGTACCGCGGCCGTACAGCCGTCAGCATGGCGACGGGGTCCCCGCAGAGGCATCACCTCAACAGGCTAGGTGTCAACAGTACTAATGTCCTGGACCACGGTGAGCACGTCACTTCACAGCGCCCATGCTTCAGGCGGAAACAGAGCTCGCTATCGTGGAGGATGTCCTCCTAGCCCTGCAGCTCAGGTACAGGCTGACATTGAATGCTCGGTGGCTCTGGCGCGGTGTTCGGCGACGGAGTGTGTCTGTTCAAGCCGCGGCTCAACCGTAGTCGCACAATGTCAGAGGACACATTGTGGCTCTGGCCCCGTGTTCGGCCAGCGTGCCTGCTCAAGCCGTGGCTTATCCGTGGCCGTACAATGTCAGAGGACGTACTCGGTGGCCCTGGCCCGGTGTTCGGCCACGGAGTGTGCCTGCTGAAGCCGCGGTTCAACCGTCACCGCACAATGTCAGAGGATGTACTCGGTGGCCCTGGCTCGGTGTTCGGCCACGGAGTGTGCCTGTTGAAGCCGCGGTTCAACCGTCACCGCACAATGTCAGAGGATGTACTCGGTGGCCCTGGCTCGGTGTTCGGCCACGACGTGTGCCTGCTCAAGCCGTGGCTCAACGGTGACCGTATAATGTCAGAAGACGTACTCGGTGGCTCTGGCCCGGTGTTCGGCCACGGAGTCTGGCTGCTCCATCTGGACGCGCTTCAGCACGCGCACCTGCAGCTCGTTGGCCGCCTGCAGCGTCGCGATGGACTTGTCGATGTCGCCCACACTGTCGTGGATCTGAAGCAGCGCACGTACTAGTCAGTGGGTGCACAGTACAGTGCAGCAGTACATGCTGGCTCAGTGGGTGCAGAGCACGGTAGCCACAAGTGAGCCAATTTCATCATATACCATCCTTACCTCAACACCTTCCAATGCGGATCAATCCCTTTACGCCATCTATCAATCAAACGGGCTAAGAACCAAGAATATAGTTTGTGTGGGACAAGGGGCCACCATTTCACGCAGTCCCACCTTGGCCAGCAGTTTGAGCAGCTGCGCCTGCATGATCATGCTAGCCAGGCTGCTGCCGTCCTCGCCCTTGATCTTCTCCAGAGCCTGCTGCACCGTCTTCTCGGCCTTGTCATACTGGCGCATCCTCATCTGCAGCTCCGCCATGTCAAACCTGACCACACACGCGGACTTTCATTCCCCCGGCCGCTCGCCACCGGGCGTCCGACGCAACTCACGGAGCTCGGGGGGGGGGGGGGGGGGACACGCCGCCGGTGCATACAGCTGCACCAACGGTCACGTATGGCGACTGGGGTGGTCCCAGTGGCGAAGCGTGCGCGCGTCGCCTTGGTCATGGGATAAACTGATGTCACACGTCTGATCACAGACTGACTAGGCTGCACCGATGTCACAAGTCTGATCACAGACTGATTGGGCTATGCCGATGTCACAAGTCTGATCACAGACTGACTAGGCTGTACCGATGTCACAAGTCTGATCACAGACTGACTGGGCTATGCCGATGTCACAAGTCTGATCACACTGACTAGGCTATGGGGGACCGAACACGGCTATGTGGTCTACATAGCCTGCAGCGAGCACAAGGCAAACGGTACTCGCAGGGTTGAAGACGCGCCCACATTGGGGGACAAAACAAAGACCAACGCTGGAAAATGGCAGGTGCTCTGCACCGGGGCCCGCGATTCGTGCATGTGCCGGGGAACAGAGGTGCGCTAACACTAGGGGGACGAGGAATGTACTCGAGGAAAGCTCACGAGCGCTACAGGAGACGTTTGCCCACACTGGAGGATGATCGAGACGGAGCCGCACCTCAGATTGTCATCCTCTCCGACTTTGATGGCCTCCTTGTAGTAGTTGATGGCCTTGCCGTAGTGGTGCGTCTTGACGAGGGCGCGTCCCATCTTGAGCGCCAGGTCGTGGTCGCGGGGGTTCCGCTTCAGCGCCGACTCGTACACCTCGATGGCCTTGTCCGGCTCAAGGATGGTCATGTAGGCGTCGCCCAGCATCAGGTAAGAGGCCGGCGTCGGTATCTGGTCCACAATCTCCCTGAGGTCGGCGGTCGGCGCCGTCAGACCGGCCGGCCGCACAAACCGCCAAGACGAGCACAGGTACGGTACGGTGCACCGAGCAGCTGGACAAACCACCGACGGCAGACCGAGCAGCCGCGCCCGGTTACACAAACTATCGACGACATACCGAGCAGCCACGCCCGGCCGGACAAACCCCCGACGCTAAACCGCAGCCACGCGCCAGTCGGCAGGAACACGGCCACGACCGCACGACCACAACTGGCCTTGCCTTTCATTCCCGGACCCGCCGACAGATAAGCGACCGGCAGTGGTGTACCGCTGCAGCTGCGTGGGGCGCCACCGACCGCGAGCTCAGTTCGCAGCCCATCCCAAACCGGCCCGGGTCCGACCGCAAACTCAGTTCGGACCCCATCCCACCCCGGCCCGGGACCGACCGCGAGCCCAGCTCGGACCCCATTCCACCCCGGCCCGGGACCGACCGCGAGCCCAGTTCGGACCCCATCCCACCCCAGCTCGGGACCGACCGTGAGCTCAGCTCGGACCCCATTCCACCCCGGCCCGGGACCGACCGCGAGCTCAGTTCGCACCCCATCCCACCCCGGCCCGGGACCGACCGCGAGCCCAGTTCGGATCCCATCCCACCCCGGCCCGGGACCGACCGCGAGCCCAGTTCGGACCCCATCCCACCCCGGCCCGGGACCGACCGCGAGCTCAGTTCGGACTCCATCCCACCCCAGCCTGGGACCGACCACGAGCCCAGTTCGGACCCCATCCCACCCCAGCCTGGGACCGACCGCGAGCCCAGTTCGGATCCCATCCCACCCCGGCCCGGGACCGACCGCGAGCCCAGTTCGGACCCCATCCCACCCCGGCCCGGGACCGACCGCGAGCTCAGTTCGGACTCCATCCCACCCCAGCCTGGGACCGACCACGAGCCCAGTTCGGACCCCATCCCACCCCAGCCTGGGACCGACCGCGAGCTCAGTTCGGACCCCATCCCACCCCGGCCCGGGACCGACCGCGAGCCCAGTTCGGACCCCATCCCACCCCGGCCCGGGGCCGACCGCGAACTCAGTTCGGACCCCATCTCGCCCCGGCCCGGGGCCGACCGCGAGCTCAGTTCGGACCCCATCTCACCCCGGCCCGGGACCGACCGCGAGCCCAGTTCGGAGCCCATCCCACCCCGGCCTGGCTGAGCGCAACGTCACTTACTTGAACATGGCGGCGTACATACGCCGGTCCTTCAGGTAATCGAAGTAGATTTCGGCCATTTTCTGACGCGACTGCAGGTAGTAGGGCTGGTCGGGCGTGATGTCGCGCAGACTGCCCAGCGCGCCGCTCACCTCGTTCCGCGCCAGCAGCAGGTCGGCGTTGGCCACCAGGATGCGCACCTCCTCGCCCGTGCCCTGCGGCGGCCGGCAGCGGAGGCGATTACCAGTCCTGTCGCCTGTAGCCCCGTGGGCAGGCGGCGAAGGACGGGCTACTGACATCGGCTCGCCTGCCCACAGGCAGACCGAATCCAAGCGCCTGGATTGTTAGCCCTTTAGCCCGTACCGTGCGACAACAGACAGTAGCTGAGTTACCACTGTTGTTATCGGTAACCTGACCGTCAGCATAGAAGACAGTTAGCTGTGCCCCACCCGGTACATTGAGCCAGACAGGACAGCGACCGGAGTCAAAATTCACCCTATGGTATCGCTCTTAAGATGTTTGTCCCTGGCCCATGCCTGGCGATGGGTTTCTGGAAAACAAAAACCAATACATTCCGATGGGTGCAATTGTAGGGAATGCGTTAAGTTTGAACAAGCATCGCTATGGGGACATTGTAAGTATGTCATCCACACCACCCAAATGGGGCTGACAGTTTGGGCTCTAGGGCGCGTCGACTAAGATGGTTATATGGCGCCCATGATACCACCCAGCCCGAGTTCGCCTTTCCAAGATAGTCGCTTGATACTGGCGACATTATCGCAGTATTTCGTACTTCGGCTTGCAAAAAACAACATATCAAATGTCACATGCGATGAATGAAAAGCCAACAGGACGATGACGCAATGCGTTGTATAACGATCGCACTGCAAGAGACAAACGGCGTATACATCTCTTCTTTAGGTCACTTCATTTGTTGCGTAAGAGCTAGGCTGATGCTGCAACTATATGGCCACCGGTGGAGTTTGTAACCTGGGTTGCGTGTCTGCGTGCGTGCGTGCGTGCGTGCGTGCGTGGGTGCGTGCGTGCGCGTGTGTGCGTGCGTGGGTGCGTGGGTGCGTGCGTGCGTGGGTGGGTTTGCGTGCGTGCGTGGGTGTGCGTGCGTGTGTACGTGCGTGCGTGCGTGCGTGCGTGTGTGCGTGCGTGCGTGCGGTTGTAGTTGCATAAAGCCTGAAACATGGTTGTGCCATGTGGGCTACAGATACGGCCCTGACGGGCCCGGGCGATGCTGGCCGCTTGCAAGCCGACCAGCCAAAGCTTCAACAGAGGCCAGCGGGCGGGAGAGGAGCCGCGCAGCTCCGGCCTGCCGACACGCACCTTGAACATGAGCGTCGCCTCCTCCATCACTTGTTTGGCATCGGCGTCCTGCTGGGCCATCCTGTACGCGTCGGCCAGCTCCAGGTAAATGGACACCTGGTCGTTGGCGTTCACCTCGATCTTGCTCTTGGGGGTGGTGCCTGCGGCGGGACCGGCCAATCAGACGGCCCAGCGTGGGCACCGGTCGCCGGCTTCGACACCCCAGCACCGGGACCGTCCCCCGACCAGGCCGGGGCCGCTGCTGGTGCGCTGCTGTGCGGTCAAGCGCCCCCCCCCCCCCCCCGTTACATCACAACGCACCAGCCGTGACTCGGCACCCCAGCACCGGGACCGCGCCCCGACCAGACCGGGGCCGCTGCTGGTGCGCTGCTGTGTGGCCAAGCGCCCCCCCCCCCCCCCCCCAGTTACATCACAACGCACCAGCCGTGACTCGGCACCCCAGCACTGGGACCTTCCCCCGACCAGACCGAGGCCGCCGCCGGCGCGCTGCTGTGCCGTCAAGCGGTCTCCCACTTACATCACGACGCACCAGTCGTGACTCGGCACCCCAGCACTGGAACCGCGCCCCGACCAGACCGGGGCCGCCGCTGGTACGCTGTTGTGTGGCCAAGCGGCCCTCGAGCTACACCACACCACACCAGCCGTGCCTAGGCGCCACGGCCCGCTGCCGCTCCCCAGGTCGGCCGCAAGCGATTGCAGCAGGACACAATGCGAGCTGCCTCGGTCGTAACCAGCCGGGGTGGGAGAGCCGTGTCGGTTGGCAGCGCCCCTGTGCGAGGCAGCCGTACCTTTGACCAGTTTGGAGGTGAGGCCGGCCAGCTGGACGGCCGTGTGCAGCGTCTGGATGGCCTCCTGCACCTGGTTCTCCCGCTTCTGGATCCGCGCCTTGATCAGGTGGAACAGCGGATGATCCTTGATCTGTCCACACACCGATAGGGTCAGAAGATACAGCCCATCCGCTTCGCGTGATCGTTACTTTCACGTGAGTGACTTTAAATCCCACTTTAGTCAATGGTAGCCTTTTCTACATATATGGAGCAGAACGTGCAAACCACTGGCACAGATCCGAAACTGACCAGGTGGCCGTTAGCTTCGCTGCATGCTAGCGCCATGGTAATGCGGTCTATCGCGGCAGCGTGGAGTTAAAATTAAAAACGAGATCGGGTGCCCAGTGTCGTTGGGTCGTCCACCATCCCATCAGGAGGGCTCGGTTGGCGCCGGGGCCTTTTACCCATGTCCGTCTCGGCGCCCAGCCCGGCAGCTAGCCGTCTCACCTCGAAATTGTAGCTGAGCCCCAGCTCCAGTGACTGCGAGGCCTGCTTGTAGAAGCCCTGGTGCAGCTGGATCTGGGCGTTCAGCAGGTGGGCGTCGGCGTACGATTGGTCTGAGGTACAGGCCAACACCGGTACAGCAGCAGCCCCGCGCACCGCGACAGAGCGACAGTCTCACGTGGCACAGGCCAACACAAGTACAGCAGCAGCCCCGCGCACCGCGACAGAGCGACAGTCTCATGTGGCACAGGCCAACACCGGTGCAGCAGCAGCCCCGCGCACCACGACAGAGCGACAGTCTCATGTGGCACAGGGCAACACCGGTACAGCAGCAGCCCCGCGCACCGCGACAGAGCGACAGTCTCACGTGGCACAGGCCAACACCAGTACAGCAGCAGCCCCGCGCACCGCGACAGAGCGACAGTCTCATGTGGCACAGGCCAACACCGGTGCAGCAGCAGCCCCGCGCACCACGACAGAGCGACAGTCTCATGTGGCACAGGGCAACACCGGTACAGCAGCAGCCCCGCGCACCGCGACAGAGCGACAGTCTCACGTGGCACAGGCCAACACCAGTACAGCAGCAGCCCCGCGCACCGCGACAGAGCGACAGTCTCATGTGGCACAGGCCAACACCGGTACAGCAGCAGCCCCGCGCACCGCGACAGAGCGACAGTCTCACGTGGCACAGGCCAACACCGGTGCAGCAGCAGCCCCGCGCACCGCGACAGAGCGACAGTCTCATGTGGCACAGGGCAACACCGGTACAGCAGCAGCCCCGCGCACCGCGACAGAGCGACAGTCTCACGTGGCACAGGCCAACACCGGTGCAGCAGCAGCCCCGCGCACCACGACAGAGCGACAGTCTCATGTGGCACAGGGCAACACCAGTACAGCAGCAACCCCGCGCACCGCGACAGAGCGACAGTCTCACGTGGCACAGGCCAACACCGGTGCAGCAGCAGCTCCGCGCACCACGACAGAGCGACAGTCTCATGTGGCACAGGGCAACACCGGTATAGAGCAGCCCGCAGAGTAACAGAGTAACACTGACACAGCTCATCTGCCGTGGCATGGGCTACACGAGTCCTGCGTTGTTATTGCATGTATTGCCTGTGCATGTTTCCAAGGCTTTCAAACAATTGCTTTACGGTCATACCGGTCAACGTTCAGGCGAAATGCATTCATTTAGTAGACATGAGATTCAGCATGGAGTTTCACCCAGCGCTTCAACAAGGATGAAGAAACCGACCGTTATCAGCTCACAGAAAGACGGAGTACTGGTCAGAACACCTGCAGCGACGCCGTGCAGTCTCTCACTTCCTCGCCTGCTAGACTGATCCTTGTGACTGGTCCCAATGGCTAATCCTTTATCGATGAGCAGCGAGCTAGCCAAAGGCAGGCCTCCGGAGATGTGATGCAGAGGCGGACCTGCGGAGATGTGATGCAGAGGCGGACCTGCGGGGATGTGATGCAGAGGCAGGCCTGAGGGGAGGTGATGCAGAGGCGGGCCTGCGGGGATGTGATGCAGAGACGGGCCTGCGGAGATGTGATGCAGAGGCAGGCCTGCGGAGATGTGATGCAGAGGCGGACCTGCAGGGGTGTGATGCAGAGGCGGGCCTGTGGGGAGGTGATGCAGAGGCGGGCCTGCGGGGATGTGATGCAGAGACGGGCCTGCGGAGATGTGATGCAGAGGCAGGCCTGCTGAGATGTGATGCAGAGGCGGACCTGCAGGGGTGTGATGCAGAGGCGGGCCTGCGGGGATGTGATACAGAGGCGGGCCTGCAGGGATGTGATGCAGGGGTGGGCGGGCGGGGAGGTGATGCAGAGGCCGGCCTGAGCCGATATAAAGCACGTACCGACATCGTCGATGCAGTGTTTGAGTGTGCTGGCAGCAGACTTGACATCGCCGCTCAGGTACTTGGCCTTGGCCATCAGATAGAGGGCCTCCAGCAGGCCTGGACAGGCCTTAGTCACCGGCTCCAGCACCGTCATGGCCCGCTTCAGCGCCGGCGGCACGGCCGAGCCCAGCGCCACCGGCTGCAACAGCGACACAGTGGCCCTCAGCTCACCAAACGCCACGCGCCGGACAGCAAGGCCGACCAGACCCACGGCGGATGGGTGGGATACATGCAGTGCCACGGTGTGCAGAGAGGCGCAGCATCGGAAGCCCGTGAAATAAGGGCATGGCTCATGCAACAATACATTAGCGTCATGGTTGTTGACATGCATGTTCCTTTAGCTTGATTGAAAAATAGCACACTGGACCAAAACTCCGTTTGGTCTTGGTAACTACACTCCTCCCTCACTAACACCCTAACATGTGAACCTCATCACCGGCCTCGGACCCCGACGAGCGTCGATGATCCAGATTTCCGTGGCGTCCGTCGCAACTCATCCATTCAACAATCCTCAGTCGTAACGACACGCCCCAGGTTTGACACGTGGCGGTTTGGGTTTGGTTTGGCACTTGCGCTCCTGGCGGTCTTTCCAACTGTGGCGCACGACTGTGTGTCAGGTTCCCATGTTGATCCTTCATGCAATCGGAGATCAAGAACGCAGTGGTCGTTGCTCTCTCGTGGGTCACCCTTGTCCGACTCGTTGACTGACGCTGGTCTCCTGTATCCGGCGTGGCCATGACCCTGACCTTCAGCTGACCCGGACGGAAATGGAGCACCGGAACCAGGCAAACCATGGCAACAGGGACAGTCCAAGACCCTGAACGACAAGACCCTGTACGACAAGAGCTCTAACACCAAGGAGACGACAGTGATAGGACGGACAGCGCGTGGCCGCTCGTAACTGGGCCGCCATGGAGACAGCGATGCGCCGGCTGGCAGCGCGTCTGAGCGGCACAGGACGTCGCAGGTGGCGGTGACATCAGGCCGGAAGGAGGCGGCCGGCTGCAGACGGCTGCAGACGGCCGGCGCCGGCCGTCGCCGCCGGCCGAGGTGTGCGGACGTGGTGCCGCCGTCACCACGATAGCGTGCCGGCGGCGGCGGCGGCGGCGATGGAGAGCGCGGCCGACAGTCAGCGCCGGCCGACCGTACCGGCGCCATGGCCGCCGCCTGCCGCCCGCTGGCGCTGCTGGCGCTCTGCTGCCTGGCCGCCGCCGCCGCCGCCGCACCAGGTGAGCCGATGCCACGCGCCGCGGGGCGGCCCGCCGCCACCGGTGACAGGGTGTCAGCCACCATACCCCACAGTCAGACCGATCACAATATGTCGACATCCAGCAGCGTACTCTAACTCTAAATATGAGGCTGGCAAGTGTTAGCGCTTCTATATACACTTCACACATCTACAAAATATGATCAGGTTTACTTCGACAGGGTTCCCTGCGACCAACATCCCACAAACCAATCACACTATCACCTTGCCGACCGTCCGATATCAGTTCCCCGCTGTGGCCGTCCCCCCGCCTCCTGGCCAGCTTGACCGCAGCCGAGTGCAGGCTGACCCTCCAGTACAGCGTGGCCACGCGTCCCCGTCTAATGCGCCGCTCCGCCCGCAGCCGAGCCGAACGCTGAGGAGGGCGCAGCGCTCTCGCAGCCAGCCGAGCTGGGGCCCGACCCAGCCCTGCTGCCGCCTGCGGGCGACCTCCTCGCCGAACAGCACCGCCAGCTGATGGCAGACACGGATGTGTTCGGCCTGTACGGCGACCCGCCGCCGGCCGGCGGGACCTTCCCTCTACCAGCGGCAGCGGTGTCCGTCGTCCACGGAGACACGGCCGGAATACTGGCACACGCGACCAAGGCCGCGGCGCAAGACGCGAGCGCCAGCATTCCCGGCCCTTACATGGCCGCTGCTGATGTGCTGGCTATCGGAGAGGTTAATGGCGTGGCCGAGGACGGAGTCGTGTCCCGGTTTTACCCAGGCTTCTCCGGGGGTTTGCCGAACGACGACGCCAAGGCAGACCTCGAGGGTGGAGAAGCACAGGAGCTGTACCAAACCGCACCAGCAATATCGACCACCCAGCACGATAAGACACTGGTCGAAGCTGTGGGTGCAAAGGAATCGTACCAAACTGTTTCCGGAGCCTCAAAGAGAGAGGGCGGGAAGGCGCCGGCCGGGCACGGCGGTGACCTGGGGTCCGTCGCGTACGGGCCAGGCATCGCTCCACCAGCCAGCGGCGCCGGATTCCCCGAGGACCCGTACACAGTCGTGTGCCTGCAGAAGGACGTCGCCGCCCACCTCATCAGCGGAGCAGCGGCGGCCAAGGACGCGGCCAGACGCTCAGACAGCGTGACAGCCGACCAAGCCGGCGGGGAAGCCGACGCCAAGACGTACGCCGTGCCGTTGTACGAGACTGTGCTGCCGGCCGCTGGTCGGGGGCCGCCGGCGGCCGGCCAGGCGGCACCCGCGGAGGCGCCCGAGGCGGTACCCGGGGCGGCACCCGGGTCGCCGCCGCTGCCGCCAGCGCCACAAGATGGAGCACCAGTAGTCTTGCCCGACCCCCCGCCGCCTGTGGACGAGGGGGCGGAGGACCAACCGCCAGCCGAGCCGCTCCTCTTTCCGGGCCTGTTCGGCGACGAGTCCCTGACCAGGTACCATTACGATGCGCTGGTGCAGCAGGCCCATGACCGGCTGCGCTGGCTGCTGTCCAACCCGGTCCCGGCTCCGTTCCTCGGCGGCGAGTCCGCGGCCCCGCACCCGGCGACGTTCGGCCCGTACGGCGGTCTGCGCTGGTATCCAACCGCCGCTGAAGACGACCAGACAGCGGGCATCTTTGGGCCGGCTGGGTTCGGACCGCCCCCGAACCTGCCGCCGCTGCCCACCGCGGGGTCAGCCGGCCAACCGTCCGTGCCGGCTGGGTTCGGACCGCCTCCGAACCTTCCACCGCTGCCCGCTGCAGGGGCGGACGGCCAACCCTCGGTGCCGGCCGGGTTTGGACCGCCTCCGAACCTTCCACCGCTGCCCGCCGCAGGGGCGGACGACCGACCATCGGTGCCGGCCAGGTTTGGACCACCCCCGAACCTTCCACCGCTGCCCGCCGCAGGGGCGGACGGCCGACTGTCGGTGCCGGCCATGTTTGGACCACCCCCGAACCTTCCACCGCTGCCCGCCGCAGGGGCGGACGGCCGACCGTCGGTGCCGGCCAGGTTTGGACCACCCCCGAACCTTCCACCGCTGTCCGCCGCAGGGGTGGACGGCCGACCGTCGGTGCCGGCCAGGTTTGGACCACCCCCGAACCTTCCACCGCTGCCCGCCGCAGGGGTGGACGACCGACCGTCGCTGCCGACCGGGTTCGGACCGCACCTGGACCAGCCAGTGTTCCCGGCAGCAGTGCCAGACGGCAGAGCTTTCGCGGCCGACAATGCTCCGGCTGGGTTTGAACCGTCCCCAAACCGGCCAGTGTTCCCGGCGGCAGGGCCAGGCGGTGTGCCTCTGGCGGCCGACGGCCGCCCGGTCGGGTTTGGGGCCGCCCATCGGTCGACCGCGGTTCACCGCCGAACGGCCGGTAGCCGGGTACGGGCCCCGGCGGTGGCCGTACGGCGGCCGGTCGCCGGCCACGACCGGGCGGGTCCCGTGGGTGGGGCGGCGCCGTCCGCCGCCCTCCTGGCCGTGGGCGAGGGTTGAGGGCAGCAGCCGCGGCCGGCCGGCGCCGGTGCCCAGCGGCGGGGTGTTCCCGCTGTACGCCGGCTGGCGGCCGGGCGTCCGCTGGCCGGCGCCTCCCCCCCCCGGCCATTTTCCGCTCTACTCGCACTGGTACCGGCCGACCGTGGTGGCGTTGCCGGGCGGCGCCATGCCGCTGCCGGATCGGACGCAGTGGCCGCGTCCAGCCGTCGCCGTGGCGACCAGCGAGCAGACGTCGGCGCCGGGCGAGCCGGACTCGCCGCCCCTGGACGCCGACTGGCCGTGGCCGGCCGTGGCCATGGCGAACGGAGGCGACTCGCTAGTGGTGACCGGCTTCGGCCGCAGCTCCGGCGCTATGGCGACCGCCGCCGGCCGTAACAACTGGCCACCCGTGGCTTCGGCTACGGCCGGCGGCTCCGCCGACCGGGGCTCCTTCTCGCGCGCCTCGTCTGGCGGCTTGAACCTCTTCTTCCAAGACGACAAGTTCTGGAGTGAGCGTGAGTACTTGTGCGCTGCGACGGCGGCGACGCATCACGCCTCGGCCAGGTCGGGTCTTACACACACCTCGGTGTCGTGAACGGCATCGGCAGAGGCCAGACGAGACGAGCGCGTAGCGCACCACTGAGATGAGGTGATGATGAGGCGATGATGAGGTGATGAGGTGATGAGGTGATGAGGCGATGAGATGATGAGTGACGATCAGATCGAACAGCGTTCCCACTGCTGGTGTTCTCCAGACTTGTCACTGTTGACCGCTGACCAGTCCGATGTCCCCAATAACAGGGTCCGTTTTCCAGCTGCGTTCTTGCGAATGCCGCCGGGCGCCGGCGGCGCCGCCGCCGAGCCACCGTCGGGGCGGACATCGCCGCCGCCACCGCCGCCGCAGCCGCTGCCGATGGTGCCGCCACCGTTGCCGACGTCCGAGCGCCCACCGGCCGGAGACGGAGGAGCGCCGAGCGAGGGCTCCGGCTCGGCTACGGAGGACCAGAGCACCACGGGCCCGTCGCCGGCGCAGGACGGCGCCTGAGGCGGCAGCCCGAGCCATCGGCGCCGAGCGGCGCTCTGGCGGTGCTCCCACACCGACCCCTGGTAACTGTCAGCGGGGCGTGGTCAGCGGACCGTCCGGCGCGCTCGCCATGTGGTGTTTGACGACTTGTCAAGTATTACAGCATATACCATGCCTTCGCTCTAATAAATCTCGGATGATGACTTTCCACAATTAGACAATCATGGCTGACTGCTTGTTAATTGTCTTGATTACCCACATGCGCTTGCGCGGTGCCAAATTCGGTTTGACGAGTGGGGCACTCATCTGAGCTTCGGCATTACACAACCTACTCCTTCGTCGCAGCTGAAGACAGACGGCTGGTTCTTCAACTGAGCTGGTGAGTCATGCCATCAACATGAAATATTTGCGTACGCACAAACGGTGCGTACTCATATGTTGAGCCAGCTAACAGCATCCTTGAAACACAAGCAGAGGTGTATTGGGGGCTAGTTCTAATCTCAGTTCCTGAACCCTTGGTTTTCCGAAACCTTAGGCGATCGATGCAGACCATTCGAATGCCTCCGTCGCTCAATGATACCAGCATCTTTGAAACAGGAAACATCGCATCATCTTGGAAGCGCACGTGCTCAGGAAGCGCTAAATCTGGTTGCTAAGTCTGGTTGATTATTACTCAGCAAAATATCATATCATAGTATAATTCAAGCAAATATGGTAAAGTGGCGGGCGCAATACAAACCAGAGCAAAAATATGTACTATGGGAGCTGTCTTACTTGGTGCCACTCAGGTAACAATAAGGCAGTGGCTGCAATTCCACCCTGGCCGAAGCACTAGCCTACATCCTATCTATCAGACGGGCGAGAGGGAACATTTGATCGACCTCATTGAGTGGACGATCACGAGACACGTGTCCTTTCTTCAAAACCTTAGTGTTCCGGCAAGGTCACACATTGACGAGGGGTGCGCAGGCCACCGGCTCCGAGGGCACGGCTGGAGTCCGGCCGTAACAGCGCCGCTCCACCGGCAGTGGCCGGAGAGCATTACCGGTCGATGGCGGTCACCCTCAGACCCTGCCCCCTCCGAGACGGGCGCCGCGCCACCTGACCTGGGTCGGCGCGTAGTGCAGACAGTCCTTGACCACCAGCACCAGGAAGTCGGGGTTCAGCGCGATCAGGTACGGCACACTCAGCGAAAGCGTGCGAAAGCTCCGGAAATGCGTCTCGATGGCGTCGTTCAGCAGGCCTGGGCGCAGGACACCGTCAAGTAGAGAACGACAGACCAGCGCATGTTGTACACTGACGCACACAGACAGGCTGGCAGGCGCGGGCAGCTCCGAGAGCGGAGTCACCACTGGTGCCCTGCAGCGCCACCGACCGCCTACAGAGCGGCACCCCCGCCGGTCGGCGAACCGCTGGCGCGTGACCGTCAGAGGCGTAACACACGGCGGCAGCACATACCAGCACCAGTACGGAACACCCCCCACGCACGCACGCACGCACAGCAGGTGGTGCAGCCCCCAGAGTGACCCCTCCCCTCCCCCCCCCGTCAGTTGTCGCCACCGACCGGCCAGCCACAACGGGAGCGACCCGAGCCCAGTACGCACCCGCACTCTTCCGGGCTGTGGTTCTGCTTGCGCGCCAGCAGCGCCGACAGGTAGGAAGGATGTCGGCCGAGTAGCCCAGCGTCTTCTGCGTCTCCTTGAGGAACTCGAGACTCTGCGCCGCCACCGTGTGGTCGCCGTCGATCAGCTGGCACGTGATGATACCTGACGCGCGCCGCCGGTCAGTAAGTACAGTCAGCGGGCGGGGACGGGAGAGGGGGGGGGGAGGGGGCAGAGAAGGCGGCACCACACCCGCGGCGCGTGGTGAGCTCCGTCCGGGCCACCGTCACCGCCGGGCAGCACACACGCCACGGGAGACGGCCGCCGGTGGCCGACAGTCCAGCACGAGGCCGACGCAGACGTACAGCCGTCCGGAGCTCAGCTGCTGAGCGGTCACCACGGGACTACCGGGGGACGTGCTCAACGATGACTGGTGGCCACGTGATCCGACCTCAAACCAATCGAAGAGACTGACCTTCAACAGCACCACCCACTAGATCACGGCATGAAACTGAATGCATTCAGTTTGATAAATGCACAAACCAGCACTATAAAAGGATGAAACTGCCATGCATTTGGAAAAGGCGTAATGCATGAAAAAGGAGTCTAAAACAACCCACAATAATTCGCATATGAGCCCCAGACAGATCCGCCGCTCAGTTGGGCGCCGCTCACCGCCCAGGGCCTCCATGGAGGACTCGTCCGCCTTGGTGGCCGCCTTGTAGAACTTCAGGGCCTCACGCGTCTTGTCCTTGAGCAGGTGCTGGTAGGCCACCTCCACCAGGAACTCGGCGCGTCGTGTCCAGCTGGGCGGCCTTCTCGGCCATCGAGAGTGTGAAGTCGAGCACGCCCGGGTTACGACCGCACTGTCGAGAAAAAGAGTGAGTAAACAAGACGTCAAGACAGCATTACATCGACCTTGGACGGGGCTGTGTGCCTCCTTCAAGGGCTCCCCCCCCCCCCCATCAGTTTGTTTCGAAGCCCGCGATATTTGACGAAAATCGCCACGAATGCGTTTAAAAAAACAGCAGGCCCATACTTGAGGAAATCTCATCTCACCCGGGTCCCCAACACGAGATTTCTGACGCCCCCTCATATTATCACAACAACCCACATTATATCATAAGGATCTAACCGGTAATCCAGACCTAAATTACAACACATTGATACCGAAAAGCGCATCAGAAGTCTGCACTCCACAAACAAAGCCCAGCACGGCCACAGACTGGCCGTCCAGTGGCGTGGCTACACCAGCTCGGCGCCGCCTGCGCCCCGTCGGTCCGACCGAGCGGCGGCCGTCGGTCCCCAGCGCACCGTCGCCGCGGCCCGGCACTGACCGTGCGCGAGAACAGCCGGGCGCACTCGATCAGGAAGGGCGGATTGTGCGGCTCGTGACGGTCTACGTTGCGCATGAACTCCTCGAGCCGCTTGGCCGCCTCGGTGTAGTCGCCGTCGCGCGTGAGCAGGCCGATCAGGCGGAGGAAGCGCAGCTCCTCGATCGGGTGATTAGCATGGGCCAGGATCCGTCGGCGGACGCCGCGAGACTGTCAGCCTCCCTGCCACTCCCTTCGCGTCACCTCAGTCGGGCCG